ATGTCATAAAACAACATGTGTACTACTGTTTCATGAGAAACTATTTGTTCTGTAAGCCTTCACCTGAAGTACAATAAAAAAATTAAAAATAAAATAATAAAAAAAAGACCTCTTTATTCAAAAGCAAAGATGTCACTTTAAGGACTAAGGTGTGCTTGACCCTAACCGTATTGTTTTCAATCGCCTCATATGCATGTGAAACCTGGACAGTGAACAAGGAAGACCGAAGAATAATTGATGCCTTTGAATTATGGTGTTGGCAAAGAATACTGAATATACCACGGACTGCCAGAAGCACAAACGAATCTGTCTTAGAAGAAGTACAACCAGAATGCTCCTTAGAAGCAAAGGTGGCAAGATTTCCTCTCACATACTTTGGATATGTTATCAGTAGGGACCAGTCCCTGGAGAAGGACATCATGCTTGATAAAGTAGAGGGTCAGTGAAAAAGAGGAAGACCCTCCATGAGACGGATTGACACAGGGGCTGCAACAATGGGCTCAAGAATAACAAGGATTGTGAGGACGGTGAAGACGCGGCAGTGTTTCATTCTGTTGTGCATAGGGTCGCTATGAGTCGGAACCGACTCGAGGGCATTAACAACAATCTGTGAGAGAAAAAATTTGTTTATTAAAGCCATTTACTTGTGGTATTTCTGTTATAGCAGTACTAGATAACTAAGACAGGGACCAACTTAGAACTCTGATTACCAGAGGGGCCTTTGGGACCATGGTTCTTCTAGGCTGTAGAGATTTTAGGAAGAAAAATTTGGTGATGACAGAGGTCAGAGGGGCCAAGGGAGCTAGTACAGATGCTTCAGGGGCATGTTATCGTCCTGCCTGGCCAGCTGAGTTGGTTACTTCCTCTGAATTACCTGGAACAGAGACTTACTTTGATGATCCCCCAGCTAATGGAACATTGACCAAGAGCACCCAAATGAAAATCAGCATGAAAAAGATCCCAGCCAAGTGACCAGAGCTCTTAGTAACACCAAGATATCTGACCCACACTCCAAGGTCATGTTTCCTCCTGCCACTAGCTAGATAACAAATTATTCACATTTTTATTCATATATGGTATTTTTTATTTACTGAAGAGGTAAAATATTTGTGTTTCAAAGTTCAAACAGAATAAAAGAAGGAACATTGAGGATTCTCCCTCCCACCCCTGCTCCCAGACACTTAGCCCCTCCCTCTCACTCAACCAATGTTCTCTGTGTCTCCTGCACTTTTCTCTGGGTATTTTATACATATAAAGACGATATGTATATTTGTTCATTTGTCCCCCCTTTTTGCACTCGCATAGCAGCACATTATATTCACTAATGTGCATTTTGTTATTTCACTCATTACATCAGAGATTATTCCCTATCAGTCTATAAACCTCACCATTATTTTTTATGATTACATAGCATTCCATTGTGTGAATGTGCCATAAATTACATATCCAGTCTCCTCATGGTGGGCACTTTGTTTTGAATCATTTGTTAATAATAAACATTGTTACAATAAATTAGGCATATTTTATTTTCCTAATCTTTAGTACATAGTTAGGATATAGGTAAAATTCATAATTGTATATTGATATTTCCATATTTTAATAAATAGAGGCTATAACTGTTAACACTTCCACCAGCACTATAAGGCATGTGTGACTTCTCACACCCTCAGTATTACGATTATCCAATTTTTGTATCTTTGCTCATCTGAGAGGTAAAGATAGCATCTGGTACAATTTTTATTTATCTTTTATTATGAATGAAATTGAACATATTTGTCTGTGTAAGGGCCATTTGTATTTCCTTTCCTGGAGACAGTTTGTTCACGTCCTTTCCCCACTTTTCTATTAGCTTGTTGATCCATTTCTTACTGATTTGTGAGAGCTCACTATATAGTAGGGAAATTAGCTCTTTATCTTTAGACCAAAAGTTCTCAAAATTTAGCATACATCAAAATAACCTGAAGGACTTGTTATTTATTTTTAAACTTAGTAAGGGATAATTTCAAATTTCAGGTAACTTGCAAAAGTAAAAAGAACACCCTTTATCCATAGGTATATATTTTTAATTTTACCCCTATTCTCTTTATCATTTGTCTCCTCTTCTCTCCTATCCTCCTGTCTCTTCCCCTCCCTTTCCCTTCACTCTTCTCTTCTCTCGCTCTTGCTCTTGCTTTACCTCTCTCTCTCTTTCTCCTAGATAGATTGAAACGGAATTGGTGAGGTTTGGTGAGGTTTTTTTTTTTTTCCTTTGTGGCTTTTAATGATTTTCAGGGGGGGAAAGTGGGAAAATATTAATTTCTTGCTACTACCATCATCAGCAGAGCCCTGGTGGTGCAGTGGTTAAGAACTTGGCTGCTAACGAAGAGGTTGTCAGTTCTAATCCACCGGCCGCTCCTTGGAAACCCTATGGGGCAGTTTTACTCTATCCTATAGGGTCATTATAGGGTCACTATGAGTCAGAATTAACTCGATGGCAACAGGTTTTGGTTTTTGGTTTTTACCATCATCAACAGCAAAGTAATTTTCTTCCTCTAACCAAAGATCCCTTTCTAAACCTGTGAGGATTAGTGGTCAACAAAGAATAGCTGGTGCTGGGATGAGTGAGCAGAGTCCAGGGTGGGGAGTCAGATGCCTGGATTGAGTCTCCAGGTCCAGACTCTGTCACAGCACATCATGTATGGGGATGGAGGAAGGTGCTTAACATGAAGCTTCACGCCTACATGAGACTCTGTAGGATCAGTTATGTCCAAAATTCTGGAGGAAAATAAACCTTTGTGAGTTCCAGGGCTTGGCCTTGAGTAAGGATTCTCCTATCCCTCAATACTTCCAGTGGCTGAATTAATCAATCCAAGGAACTATGATAGCCCATAAATTTCTAAACATCTGAACCTGGAATCACTTACCTATGAACATCACAAATTTACCTGGCTCCTCCATTCCAAAATTTTCCATGTTAAAAAAAAAAGGCAAAGTGGTAATTATCCCACAACAGGTAAGTCTGACTGTGAACTCCTCTTTGCTGGGTCCCAGGAGGAAGACCCCGTGCTGACTGTGATCACCTACATGGGGCTAGGCCTCTCTCTCCTCTGCCTTCTTCTGGCGGCCCTCACCTTTGTCCTGTGTAAAGCCATCCAAAACACCAGCACCTCATTCCACCTGCAGCTCTCGCTCTGCCTCTTCCTAGCCCACCTTCTCTTCCTCATCGGGATTGACCGAACCGAGCCCCAGGTACTGACAGTGTCCCTAAGGACTCCCTGCCCTGCCCCAGGAGAGGCTGGGCTCATGGAGCCAGGCTGTGCTTGATCCCTTAGTCAAATGGTCTTGAGCCCCAGGAAGGTTAGAGGGGTAAGTAGTCCTGACTCAAGTAGAAAACCATTCTCTCTTGACCACTCCTCCACATACATCAGGATTATGCCCATTGGCAGGCACAGGAGAGGCCCTGGGGCACACTGACAACATGACGGCTGCTCTAGGTGACTCTCCCTGCTCCCCCAGGTGCTGTGCACCATCATCGCTGGTGCCTTACACTACCTCTACCTGGCTGCCTTCGCCTGGATGCTGCTGGAGGGCCTCCACCTTTTCCTCACTGCGAGAAACCTGACAGTGGTCAACTACTCCAGCATGAGAAGACGCATGAAGAAGCTCATGTTCCCTGTGGGCTACGGAGTCCCAGCCTTGATCGTGGCAATTTCTGCAGCATCCAGACCTCATCTTTATGGAACATCTGCCCGGTAAATGCAGATTCTACCTGTGCTTATCCTCTCCAGCTCGACCACAGCCACTACTAAAACAAATGCAGTGCTTTGGTTATGCCAGAGTATAATATCGAAAGGAAAACTAGTAAGTCCTAGGATATCTTTCTGGTGAAAGATTATAATAACTAAGGAGAATACCTTCAAATCTCTGTCCTTGAGCTAGCAAAGGACATCATTGGTTTATCTTATTTACTTCTTTATCCAAATCCTATAGGATGCTCCAATTTTTCATTTGAAAAATTAGAACTGATTTAAGTAATCAAAATAATAGCTAGTATCATAATTATGATTTACAAGGTACTTCCAGTGTTCCAGGCACTTTTCTAATCATTTTGATATGTATTAACTCATTTAAACCTCAAACAAATACTATAAAGTATATGCTGTCATTTCCCCTCTCCCCCTCACCCCACATTTTACAGATGAGTAAACTGAGGCATGACTCATTTAAGTAAATGCCCAAAGCTTCACCAGTTAGTACCTGGCAGAGCTAATAACCAAACCCAGGAATTCAGGTTCAGAGCTTGCACTCTTTTATTTTCAACTTTTTAATACTAGGTTTAATTTTTTACACCTTTATGGAGATATATTTCACATACCATAAAATTCACCCATATAAAACCTGTTCAGCATCACAGAAACATGCAAGTCTCTGTGACAAATGAGTTGTGGCTGCACTTGAGGTGCGTTGGTCAGGATTTGAACCTAAGTCTTCTGCATGGAAGGCAAGAATTCTACTACTGAATCACAACTGTACTCATTGTTGTCACATCGTCCTTTAATTCTTTAAAAAGTTTTAGTTTTAGTTCTTTTAACATATTTATGATTGCTAATTTTAAAACTTTGTCTATTAAGTCCAAAATCTGGACTCCCTCAGGGACATCTTCTGTTGGCTGATTTTTTTTCTGTGTATGTTGCATATTTTCCAGTTTCTTTGTATATCTCATAATTTTTTGTTAAAAACTGGACATTTTCGATAATATACTGAAACACCTCTGGTATCATATTCTTTCATTCTCCAACTTTTGTTTTTGTTGCTAGTTTGTTGTTTTTTGCTATATATTTTTTAAGCAATTTTCCTGGACTGAATCTGTAGTGTCAGTAATCCTGGCAGTGTGTGTCCTCTGAGTTTAGTGCTAGCTTTATTTAAGACTTGTTTTTATTTTTAATCCTGGCTTCCTAGGGATCACACTTGGGTCAGTATAATTTAGTGATCACCCAATGATTGATCAGAATATTTCCTTAAATGCATTTCTATATGTTTTGCACGGGGATCTGTGTGAGAAGAAATACTTTCAAACCTTAGGCAGTTTACAAGACAACCTTAGTTTTCACTTCCTTCTTGCACAGAGCCTCAAGGTCAGCCAGAGGTGAGAGAGACTAGAGCATTTTTTTCCTAAGTCTCTCCTGAGAATGGGCACTGCCTTGTGCATACCTGCAGCCTTTTAGGTCCCCAGGAATATGTCAGAGCTTTTCAAAGTTCCCTGTGGTCCTTTAGTTCTCCAGTATTTTCTTTTAAATTCCTGGCCAGGCTCCTGTTGGCCTCAACTGAAATCACAGCCTTTGGCAGCTGGTGATGTTGCCAGCAATTTGCTGTTGTTTTGGTAATGTCCTGCGTATAGGCTTTTTTGACTCTTGCTGGGATAAATTCAAATAGCCACCAAATTCTGAGAATAGAAGAATTCCCAGTAAGCTGAAAGTTTGGGGAAAATATTGACTGTCCTCAGGGAATAATGGTCATGCTTTTAGCAGACCTCCACGAGTGGTCAGATCTCTCTGTCGTCCACAGTACTATCAACTTTTTGCTACTGCACCGCTGAGCTAGGAGGAGAAGAATGGAAAGAGCCCCAAGTGAAAACTTCACAAACCACCCCCCATTATATTGAGGTTCAGTAGTTTCTCTTAGATAGACTATTTTCAGATCATTTTGTGATCTTGGTTAATTACTTGTTTGGCCCATATTTTTATCGTTTAGAAGGAGAGTAAGTTCACCAAGGTCCTCACTACTCCACTTAGAAAGTCAGTACCCCAGGGCTTGTACTTTTAACTACAACATTCTGCTGAAATTTATGTTCACCTACATCAACTTAGCTCTTTCCAGATATCTTTCTTGCTGCAATGTGATAGATCACTTTTGTTTGGCCTTTCTAGCCATGGTCTTGTAACTCCCACCCAAGTGATTGGGCAGGACTGTGTGATAAGGTAATTTTGGCCCACCAAAGGGACAGGTCAATTTTGCCATCCCGCTGGGTTTGAAATGAGCCACCCCAGAGGTGGGAAGGAGAAGATCCCACCACCACCAAAGAAGAACAGCCAAGAGCCAACATGTCCTTTGGACCCAGGATCTCTGCACTGAGAAGCTCCTGGAAGTGGGAGACTGAGAGAGAAAGAGAACTGTAACACTGAAGATGGTGAGAAGTGGTGGCAGGAGAGACCCAGCAGCAGACATCCAGCAGCAGAGACCTGGCAGCAGGAGATGGCATGCTGGGCTTCTCAGCCCACAGAGTGAGAAAGCTGGGTACCTTTGGGCAGAGGCCTAGAGTCAGGGAGACACGTGCCTGCGAGCACAGCTGATAAGAGGCTGTCCTGATAGAAGAGCTGTATCCTGAGTGTTCCTAAGCCTGAATTGTAACTGTTACTTCCCTAATAAGCCCCATAATTGTAAGTATTGTCTGTAAGTTCTGTGTGGCCATTGCAATGAATTATCAAACCCAGCAGAGAAGTAGGGAGTGCTGTGAGATGGACTGTTGGTGTCAAAATTGGTAAAGATGGTGAAGAAAGGAGGCATGTCTGACCTCCACCTCATAGGAATCAGCCTTGGGCTGTTGATCTTAATTCTCCTTCCCCCATATGAAGTTAGAGGAGGTCAGACACCACCCCCATGCCATTTTTACACTTGGATACTTCAGTTCTTTCTTAAATTCTTCTCAGTGTGTACTTTTCAAACACTCCATGGCCCTGAAATATCCTACAACACTAACCACTTTACCCTAATGTAGGACCAGGACTGAATTGCATTATTGTCTATCAGTAAAGCCTTGAGTAATAAACTTAAGTTATGTCTCAGTTACCACCTGTGATCATAAAAGAACCTCTGTTTTAGGCTGTTGTTAAGATCAAATTGAATAACTCAACAAAGACAAATAACCCAATTTAAAAATGGACAAAAGATTTGAATAGACATTTATCCGAAGAAACAGTACAGACAGCCAAATAGCATAGGAAAAGATGCTGAACATCATTAGTCCTTAAACCCGTTGCCGTGGAGTCGATTCCAACTCATAGTGACCCTATAGGACACAGTAAAACTGCCCCAACTGCCTCATAGGGTTTCCAAGGAGCGGCTGGTGGATTCAAACTGCTGACCTTTTGGTTAGCAGCCATAGCTCATCATAGCTCTTAACCAGTGCGCCACCAGGGCTCCTCATTAGTCCATAGGAAAATACAAATCAAAACCATAATGAGATACCACTTCATACCTATTTGTTGTTGTTAGGTGCCCTCGAGTCAGTTCCAACATATAGCGACACCCTATGCACAACAGAACGAAACACTGCCCAGTCCTCCACTACCCTCACAATCATTGCTATGGTTGAGCCCATTGCTGCAGCCACTGTGTCAATCCATCTTGTTGAGGGTCTTCCTCTTTTTTGCTGACCTTCTACTTTACCAAGCATGATATCCTTCTCCAGGGACTGGTCTCTCCTGATAACATAATCAAAGTACGTGAGCTTCCAAGGAGCATTCTGGCTGTACTTCTTCCAAAACAGATTTGTTCATTCTTTTGGCAGTCCATGCTATATTCAATATTCTTCGCCAACACCATAATTCAAAGGCATCAATTCTTCTTCAGTCTTCCTTATTCATTGTTCAGTTTTCGCATGTATATGAGGCAATTGAAAATACCATGGCTTGGGTCACGCAAACCTTAGTCCTCAAAGTGATAATTTGCTTTTTAACACTTTAAAGAGGACTTTTGCAGCAGATTTGCTCAGTGCAATACGTGATTTGATTTCTTGACTGTTGCTTCCATTGGTGTTGATTGTGGATCCAAGTAAAATGAAGTCCTTGACAACTTCAATCTTTTCTCCATTTAGTATGATATTGCTTATTGGTTCAGTTGTGAGGATTTTTATTTTCTTTATGTTAAGATATAATCCATACAGAAGGCTGTAGTCTTTGATCTTCATCAGTAAGTGCTTCACAGATAATAAAAAGTGCTGGAAAGGATGTGGAGAAATTGGAACCTCATACATTGCTTGTGGGAATGTAAAATGGTGCAGCCACTTTGGAAAACATTTTGCAGTTCCTAAAAATTATAAACACAGATTTACTATATTACCCAGAAATTCCAGTCCTAGGTATATAAACAAACAGAAAGCCCATTATCATCAAGTCGGTTCTGACTCATGGTGACCCCATGTGTTACAGAGCAAAACTGCTCCATGGTGTTTTCTTGGCTGTAATCTTTATGGAAGCATATCGTCAGGCCTTTTTTCTGTGGTGCCACTGGGTGGGTTCAAACTGCCAACCTTCAGGTTAGTACATGAGCACAAACCATTTGTGCCACCCAGGGACCTTCCTAGGTACAATCACCCCAGACAAAACATATGTCCACACAAAAACTTGTACATGAATATTCCTAGCAAAATTATTCATAATAGTCAAAAAGTGTAAATAATCTAAATGTTCATCAACTGATGAATGGATAAACAAAAGGAGGTATATCCATACAATGGAATATTATTCAGCCCTAAAAAAGAATGAGGTACTGATACATGCTACAACATGGATGAACCTTAAAAACATTATGCTAAGTGAAAGAAGCCAATCATGAAAGACCACATATTGTTTTTAATTTACATGAAATGTCCATAATAGGCAAATCCAGAAACAGATATTTGTTGCCTCAGTCTGAGCAGAGCCCCTGGCTGGTGAAGTGGTTAAGAGCTCAAGCTGCTAATCAAAAGGTCAGTAGTTGAAATCCACCAGAAGCTCCTTGGAAACCCTATGGGGCAGTTCTCTGTCCTACGGGGTTTCTATGAGTCGGAAGCGATTCGACTCAGCGGCAACGGGTTTGGTTTTTGGTTTGGGGCTGGGGTAGGTGGGAGGAAAGCTAGTTTGGGGAATGACTGCTAATGTGTACAAGGTTTCTTTTCAGCAAGTTGAAAATGTTCTAAAATTAGTTTGTGGTGATGGTTGCATAACTGTGAATATTCTAAAAACCACTGAAATGTACACTTTAAATGGATGAATTTATGGTATATGGAATAATCTCAATAATGCAATATTTTTTAATTCAGTGGATGGGTTTTGTAGCAAACAAAAAAGATTAAATTGAAAAGTGTAAGAAAGGCCCTGAAAACCATGTTAGGTTCACAGGACTCTCACATCTTTACATGTTTACACCCTCCTCCTCTGCTTCAACACTATTTAGCTCAGTAACATCCACTCAACCTTCACATCTCAGCTAAAATATAATTTTCTTGGGGAATCTTCCTTAATCATCCTATTCCATAGACCCAAAACTAAGCATGGAATCTAATGATACTTTCACATAGCCTCCCTTTTTTGTTTTATTGTTAAAATGTGTCTAATCTTGTGCCTCTTCCCTGATTGTGAGATATGAGGGGTCTAAGACCATGTGTACTTTCTTCACCACTGTATCTTCAAAGCCAACCACAGAGCATATCAAATAAGGGACACTCAATATTTGTTGAAGAATGAATGAATGGATGAATGAATGAACAAATTTACATAGCTGTTCTATATTCTCAAGGATCAATGAATTTTTAATCTCTCTTGATCAGCTGTTGGCTTCACCCAGGAAAGGGATTTATATGGAGCTTCCTTGGACCAGTCTGCGCCATCTTCTCTGTGAGTAATGACACCAGAGCATCCTTACTGTCCAGCTGAGGGTTATTAGAAGAGCAGGATTCATAAAAAGGTGACAGGAGCAGGAATGTCCCTGGATTTTCATAGGTTTAGTTTGGTTCTCTAAGACTGCTCCTCAATCTACAAACTCGAAGACTGTTACCATTGCTGTCAAGTCGATTACAGCTTATAGCCACCCCGCAGGACACAGTAGAACTGCCCCACAGGGTTTCCAAGGCAGTAAATCTTTACAGAAGCAGACTGCCACATCTTTCTCCCAGGGAGCTGCTGGTGGGTTTGTACCACCAACCTTCCGGTTAGCAGTCGAGTTCTTAACCACTGAGCCACTAGGGCTCCTATCAAAGACTGTTACTAAATATAAAAACCACTTAAGTATGGAATTGGTGGTTTATAGACTAGGGTGAATAGGTATCAGGTTTGAAATTTTATTCAATAAACCTGTGGTTTCCCAAAGGTCAATTTAGCTTTCTTTCTGATGACCTTCTGGATTTTGAAAAACAAACTCTCGTCCCTCAACAATGATGTGTCCACACTTCAGAACACAAGGTAAGATGAAGAAGAGGGCACACAACCCCATAGACATGTGTGCTCCAAAGGGCAAAGCCATGTGCCTCGGCAGCTCCTCATATCCTTCTCAGAGTAAGCAGATGCAGAAGAATCCTATGGCAGCCAGCTCAGATTCAGTGTTCTGCTGCTGACATTCCAGCCAAAATGTTCTGTCCATCTATAATCCAAGCTTGTGACCCCCTCAACAACAAGGAATTGAACAAAAATTGACATTGGTTGATAAACGCATTTTGAACTTTTGTCAGTCCTATGACAAAGTTCAAAGCACATTTATTTATTCAGGAAGCATTTAGGACAATGCATGAATGTTCCCATGACTCAGCTTGCACTTTCATACCTCACCTTCAGTTCAGGCTCCTTCTTGGCCCTCATCAGTTCCTCCATCTGGAAAAATCCTAAAACCAAACCAAACCCATTGCCATTGATCAATTCCGACTCATGGAGACCCCATATGTTACAAATTAGAACTGAGCTCCCTAGAGTTTTTGTGACTAAGTCATTATGAGTCGGGAAACTCAATGGCACACAAGAATCTGTATGGGAGCATATCGCCAGGCCTTTCTTCAGGGCCACTGTGGGTTCAAACCACTATCTTTCAATTAGTAGTTGAGTGCAGTTTGTGCCACCCAGTGAAAAATCCTATTCAATAACAAATCCTCTAAAACGCTTGGAATTCCTTTGCTCCAGGCACCCTTGTACAAAATCAATGCCCTTTCCTATAGGTTCCTATCACTATCCTTCCCAAATATTGCACATCATTGTTTGGTTGGATTAGTCATTTGACCAGAACTCTATGAAAACAGAAATCTCATCTTTTTTGTTTTTAATACCCAAACCCTAGCACAGATCTGAGTGCCCATCACGGACACAGTAATGTCAGTTAAATAATTTAAGGAGCTTCATGGAACGTCACAATTGTTTTGAAACCCACATGATGAAGTGTCACTACCCTCCTCAGTCCAAGTCAAAATGTCCTGAAAACAAACGGCTTTTCCTTTGGGGGAATCAGTGAAAGTGAAAACCAAGGCTGATCACAACTCAGTCTGAGAACTCACCACTAGGGGAGAGGGAGTGTTGCTAGAGGTGACCACAGGGTGGAGATGATAATGACCTTGATTTTGATGCTCTGAGTGCATCACCGGGATCATTTCTCTCCCCTCCCAGGATGCTGACGTTTAAAGCGACAGCTCAGCTCTTCATCCTGGGCTGCACCTGGTGTCTGGGCATCCTGCAGGTGGGCCCAGCTGCCCAGGTCATGGCCTATCTCTTCACCATCATCAACAGCCTGCAGGGTGTCTTCATCTTTCTGGTGTACTGCCTCCTCAGCCAGCAGGTACCACTGCCCAGTTTCCACCAAAGACTATTCTTGTCCTCACCCCTCTCAGTGAGCTGACCCTCAGCATTTGCCTCTGCAGGTCCAGGAGCAATACAGGAAATGGTTCATAGGGATTAGGAGATTGAGAGAGGAGTCTGAGATGTACACGCTGTCCAGCAGGGTCTTGCCTGATGCCTCCAAACCCAACTTGGTAAGACCATGCATTGTTCTTCCCCAGAGTACTTCACTAACTGATCCACTCAAGGAGCACATGTCAATCACATTGGGTAATCTGGATCTACAACAGGTGATGCCCTAGGATGGCTCATAATTGGTTTACTCCTTGACTCATTGAAGGCATTTTTCTCCATTAACAATGGTCTCAGTTTAAGTTTGTTTAAAAAGACATTTGTTGCTCTTACTCGTTAGGGAACTGTGTTCATCCTGACTCCTGCACAACAACATTCTTATTCAACCCCTAGTACATGCTATGCATGGTGCCATATATTGTTCAGTTCTATTTGCAAGAGAAAATCCTTACTTTTAGAGGTTCTGGTGAACTAAGTAAGCAGGAATCAGTGATGTGAAACACTGACGCTCAATATTCTCAGAGCCACGTTAGTCTATGCTTTTCCTCTACACTCACTTCTATTTCATAGTTACTCAGCACCATCCCACAAAAAAAAAGGGGGTACGGTATACCTATTTATGAAGTAAAAGGAAATAAGTGTTAACTGAGATTTGAGATGTCCTCAGCAAGTCTGCCTGGTATTTTCAACACCCTCTACCCACTGCAAAACCAGGAAGAAAAAACATAACAGCGTGAGATAATTCGTGGCAACTATTGCTAATGACCAACCTTTATTTGTTTAGATTTACAACGTTCTTTTACCTATGTTTTCCCACCTCTTCTTCCATCTTCCCTACTATAAGTGTGATTATTATCCCATTTGATTGATGAGGAAAGTAACACTCATGAGATTTATGTGAATTGTGCAGGGTCTCTTCAGTCAATGAGTTTAAACCCCTCTAAGCCTTCCTCCTAATTTAAAGGAGCCCATCACTCTGCCAGGCCACTCTTCTGCATCTCTCTCATCAACTTGTTCACTCAACTTCCACAATCACTGGTTCCAACACTGATTCTTCTATTCCCCCTCCCCGCTCACCTGCTCAGCAAATGTTCTTACCACCTATTTCACAGAGAAAATTCAAGTCATTAAGATGACACTTTGAGAACTCCATGCTCTCAATAATACCAGCCAAACATCAGTATCCAGCCTCTCCACATTCCCATCAGTACCATAGGCACAATGTCCTTTCTCCTAAGGCAATGCTTCCACTTGCCGTTTGGATCCCGTAATTCATGCCTTCTCAATATCCTTATATAATGCTTCATACATTCATTCTCTCAGATATAGATATATACCCCTCTTCCCATTTATGTTTCATCTTACAAACAGATAGTACTTGGCCCTACATCCTTTTCCAGTTACCAGTCAAAAGTTGGCTTTTCTGTCTCCATTTCCTTGCCTCCCGTTCATTCCCTCGGCCCGTGGAAATATGGCCTCTTTCCCCATCATTCCACCAAAACCAATCTCTATTAGGTCTACAATGATTTCCATGTCCCTAAATGTCCTCTCATCGACTTCTAACACTATTAATTACTCCTTCTTCCTGCAACATCCCATCCTCATTCCTTCTACATTCTTCTAATACACCCCTCCATGTCTTTCGTTCCATTGTCACATCTCCTTCCCAGTCTCTTGCTCTCCTGCCTCCCTCTATCCCTTATAAGAACCCTTGTGATTACATTGGGTCACTTGAATAAGCCAAGATGATCTTCTCACCTCAGGATGCTTAATTACATCTGCAAAGTGTCTTCAAGTCCTTACATTCACAGGTTCTGGGGATTAGGATATGGACATCTTGGGGGACCACTAATTTGTCTACCACACCTATCATATATAGGCTTGGTTAACCTAGTGTAGCACTATCAAAATCTGTCTCATATTATAAACATTTGAAAAAATATCTCCTCAACCCCACCATGCTCCTGCAGAGATGATATACACATTGAGGGAAAGATACAGTATTTTCTGTCTAAAGAAATAGAGTATGGTATCAGATATAGTCAATGAAGACTTTTAAAATTCAAGTGATCTGATCCAATATTTCTACTATCTATGCTGCAAGGAACCAAACAAATCCGTTGCTTAATGTAATTTTATCTTCTATGCCCTCTTTTATGGCTCCATACATAAAGCAAAGGTCTCTGAGTGGCACAAATGATTTGCACTCGCCTACGAACTGTGAGGTTGGTGTTTCGAACCCACCCAGTGGCACCACAGAAGAAAGGCCTAGCAATCTACTTACATAAAAGAGTACAGCCAAGGGGGTCTGGGGACCATGGTTTCAGGGAACATCTAGGTCAATTGGCATAACAAAGTTTATTAAGAAAATGTTCTGCATCCCACTTTGGTGAGTGGCGTCTGGGGTCTTAAAAGCTAGCATGTGGCCATCTAAGATGCATCAATTGGTCCCAACCCACCTGGACCAAAGAAGAATGAAAAACACCAAAGAAACAGGGAAAGTATTGGCCCAAGCGACAGATAGGGCCACATAAACCGGAGATTGCTTCAGCCTGAGACCAGAACTAGATGGTGCCCGGCTACCACCAATGACCACCCCGACAGGGAACACAACAGAGAGTCCCTGACGGAGCAGGACAAAAGTGGGGTGCAGAACTCAAATTCTAGTAAAAAGACCAGACTTAATGGTTTGACTGAGACTGGAGGGACCCTGGAAGACATGGCCCCCTGACTCTCTGTTAGTGCAAAACTAAAACCATACCCTAGGCTAACTCTTCAGACAAAGATTAGACTAGACTATGGGACATAAAATGATACTTATGAAGATTGTGCTTCTTAGCTCAAGTAAACACGAGACTAAATGAGCAGCTCCTGTTTGGAGGTGAGATGAGAAGGCAGAGAGGGTCAAGAGCTGGTTGAATGGACACAGGAAATCCGAGGCGGAAAGGAGGAGTGTGCTGTCACAGTATAGGGAGAGCAACTAGGGTCACGTAACTATGTATAAATTTTTGTATGTGAGACTAACTTGTATTCTAAACTTCACTTAAGGCACAACAATAAAATAAAAAAGAGTACAGCCAAGAAAACCTTATGGAGCAGTTCCACTCTGTAACACATGTCGACTCGACAGCAACAGGTTTTTTGGTACATAAAGCAACGTTTGGCAAACCCTGAAGCAGAGGTATCAGGACATACATATTGAAACATGCTGATCACTTTTGTCCCACATTTAATTGCTCTTATCTTCTGTAGCTTGAGGCTTAGGAAACATCAGGGAGGTGAGACTTCTAAGAAAGACCACCATCTAGCAAAATGCAATCTGACATGGCCTCTTGAGCTTAGCCTGACAAATCCAGCTGGCAAGGAAATTATGTAATTAGAAGACTTCTTAAATTTCATAGTTCCTTTTTCAAAGGGGACTTAAAATTTATCTTTCTATAGTCTTATATATCATTTCTAAAACTTATCTTTCAGGTTAATTAGAAAGCTCTTCTGAACTACATCTTTTGTCCCATGGAAAATTGGAAATGCCATTCTTTGAGCCATGAAGTAGGAAAAAAACGACTTTGTTGTGTGTTTCTCCAAGAAATTTATCATGTCAGCAACATGAAGGAAGTCATGGAGGACACGTCTGACACCCAATTCCTGCAGAATCTGGACTTTTCTGTGCCCTACACTGTGTTCAGCAAACTCTCAGCATATAGAGGGCAAGGTATGGCTCAATTCCGTGCTCACCTTGAGTTAAGCTCTATTCTACAGCCCCTCCCCTTCCTACAAAGACTCTTCTAGATGCTGAAAGTCTATAAGCAGGAAAAGCAGCCTCAAAGAACTTTTATACAAACAACACCCAAAAGGACTAGAATGTTCACACCACTGTCTAGATTTCTTCATTTCTTTGTTCTCTGTTTCTATTTTGTTTTCAGTCATTCAAAAATGTTAATTACTTGCCATCTTCAAGGCAGGATTCATTGTTCCTGCCTTCATGGAGCTTTCAGGGGGAAATAAAGTGATACTTGCATCTAGAGTTGATTCAGGGGCCAAAAAATTCCTTTAAAAGGAGTCCCTACAACTGGGCGATTGAAGTATAAACCATTTCACCCGCACTATCTTCTTTCATCGTTACATCAAGATGCAGAAATTTTCTAAACCCAGACCAGGAATGTGCACCGAGCTTCATCTCAAAGGAATGACTTGCAGGACTCCTAAGTGTCCTGATCAAATGCCGTTTCCACTGCGCATTACTGCTTTCCTGGAAGAGCAATGCCATACGACCATGAAGCCTGGAAAATGCACACATAGGGTTATGGACTGAAAGTCTAAAAATTAAAAAACAAAATTATTAAAATGAAGGGAAATACATGTGATTTCAAGAATTATGACCTCCAGGTAAGGGACACCGTCTTAATCAATAGAACCAAAAAGAAAAGGCAATGAAGTAAACCCCTGAAATGTTTTCCTGCAACAAATCTTAAAGCTTCGAAATGGCAAACAACACAAATTTTGAAGTCAAGAAATGAAAAATATATACATTACATGACAAAAGATTAATATTAGGAGCATAGAATTAATTTAAGGAGCCCTAGTAGCACAATGATTAAACACTCGGCTGCTAACCAAAAGGTCTACAGCTCGAACTCGCCAGCGGCTCCACGTGAGAAAAAGACTTGGTGATCTTCTCCCATAAAGATAGCAGCGTAGGCAGGACACGCTATGAGGCAGTTCTACTCTGTCCTGTAGGGTTGCTATGAGTCGGAATCAACTTGACACCACACAACAACACAGAATTATCTAAGAAATTAGAAATAATTTCTAAAAATTTAAAAAGCAACCAACAAATTAGAAAAATTTAGAAAAGATATAAATAGGTTATTCTTGGGAAACAAAAAGGCAAATGGCCAATAAACACATAAGACAATGCTTATCCTCACTAGTAATCAGGAAAATCAATATCACTAGAACAAAATTCTATCAGATTAGCAAAAACTGAGCAATTGGACAATATTTAAAGTTGATTTCACTGTAGAAAATGGGTATTCCCATATGGTGTTAAGACATTGATACAGCCACTTAAGACAGCAATTTGAAAGTATCTATTAAAATTTAACATGCACAGAGCTTATCACCCAGAGATTACAGTGGTCTTTATCTATCCCAGAGAAAAACCCACATGCTCACAGGAAGACGTGCACAAGAACACTTATCACAGCAATATTTTCAAGATTACAAAACACCTAAACATCCACCAATATGGAAGAGCAAAATAAAATATGGTATTTATATGGAATATAGTATTATACAGTGATGTGAAAAGTGTGAAGTATATCAATCTGTACTTTTTTATGGATTTTTATACTTAGAGACAGAAAAATCTCCAAGACACATTATCAAGTGCAAAAAGCAAGCTCAAATACCCTGTAGTATGGTTCAATTTATGCTAAAGACAAAAACAATTATAATACATTATACGTTTTATGGGTTCTCATCAAAAAGTTGGACATAGAACTACCATATGACCCAGAAATCCCAATACTGGGTATATACCCAGAAGTGAAAGCAGGTAGGCAAACAGAAATCTATACACCAATGTTCATTACAGCACTTCTCACAATAGCCAAAAGGTGGAAACCAAAATGTCCATCAACAGATGAATGGATTTTAAAAATGTGGTATACTACTCAACCATAAGGAGAAATGAAGTCCTGATGCATGGCACAACATGGATGAACCTTGAAAACATCATGCTGAGTGAAATAAGTCAGTCACAAAAGGACAAATATTGTATGATCTCACTTATATGAAATAAGCAAATATATAGAAAACAAAGATTATTAGTGGTTACCGGGGGTAGGAGGGAAGGGGAAAGGGGGAGTTTTTGTGATAGTGAGAATGGTTCAATGTTACTGAATTATACATGTAGACATGGTTAAAGATGGCATATACTTTGTTACATATTTTCACCACAATAAAAATTTTTCTAAAGACTGGGTTATGAAAAAAACATAACTTCCATCACGCTCACACTTTCTTGCTCTCTCCCACACACACATCCCTTTCATCATGCCCGAGTTTAAGAAGACATCCTGAGGCTGACCCAGATGCTTGAGAATATCAACTGCCTATGATTAAACTCATGAAAGCCAGGCACTGTGTTCTTCACTCTGAGTAGAGACTGCTGGGTAGTGATGAATCTCAAAGGTAGCAGCCTCAACCCTACTTGGGCAAAAAGCAATAGCCCACAGACCTGGTCAAGCAGGACACCTGCAACCCAATGACTCAGAGACATGCACACCCCACTTGGGAGCACATGCCCCAATACCAATTCATGTGTTCATTTAACAACCATGTTGAAAGCTTATTTTCTGTCCAGCACAATGCTAGGCCTAAAGTCAGTCATACTAAACAAGTATGGTTTGGTCTCTGTGGTCTCAGGGAATTTAAAAGAGGATGAAGCCCAATAAACCATTACAAAAAGCAGTGTGGTTAGGAAGTAGGATTTAGGAAGAACGCTATTCCCAAACTTCATGCTTCCACCTTGGATGTAGAAAGCTGCTAGGCATTGCTGCCACCCTAGTAACAAGAAAAAACTGGGTAATTGACAAAACTGTTTTCTTGAACCATCAGAGAGCTGAGGTTACAGGCAACCATCTCGCCTGAATTCTAGGGAATGAAAGACTAATGTGAGTGTTGGCTCACCTATAGCAAAGCCCATTGTGGGCTGGTGTGAGGGCAGAGAACCCCCAGGAGCCTCAGACACAAAGGAGTTCTCATCCACTTGCAGGGTCTTCTTGGGCCTCCACCAGGTGCTCATGAGCAAGATTGGGTGGCAGGGCTGGTGACTGGATAGTCTTCCTCAGCTAGACCCAAAAGTTCATTAAGTACATGTTCTATCTTCCAAGTTACCACAATGTTTTGAAATGGCCCCACCACCACATGACCCAGGAGCCCTTTATTGAACCCTAACTAGCACTTTCTGCAGTTTTCCAGCCACTGTTTCCTCATCCCTTTTACAGTTTCTTTCTGCCCAGTTCCAAGGTCAATGCCTCATTTTCAGTTTTTGTCATAGCAGCACCCTATTTCTGATATTGTGTATCAGTTAATGTTGCATAAAAGAACCACCCCAAAACTTAGTGGATTAAAATAGCCAGTTTATGTGCTCATAATTCTGAGTCAGCAATTTGGGCTCAACTCAGCTGGGCAGTTCTTCTGGTGGTCTCACATGCGGTCACTTATGCTGCTTCAGCCACTTATGGTGGCTTGCCGTCGGCTAGATGGTCTAAGACGGCCTCACTCACGTCTGGTCGTTGGTGCTGGATGTCAGAGGGGCTCCTCCCTCCATATGGCCTCTCATCCTTGAGGAAGCTAGCCCAGCTAACCCTTGCTGTGAAGAGTCTAGCCACATAATGAGAATGTTCCCACACTTCGAAGGATGTAACCAATGTCACTGAAAAATTTGTGTAGAAATTGTTGAACGGGAATCTAAAGTACTGTGTAAACCTTCACCTAAAACACAATAAAATATTATTTTAAAAAATTCAAATCACAGCTAAAAGCGGGCAAACCCAAATGTGACTTCTGCTTGTGTCATGTTTGTAAATGTTCCATTGGCCAAAGCAAGTCACACAATCAAGTTCATTTTCAAGAGGTAGAGAAATAAACCTCACCTCTTGACAGGAGCAGCAAAGTCATATTGCAAAGAGATGCACAAAGAGTGATGGAATTATTGTTCCCACAAATGCAACTATCTACTGCACCATCATTACTCATCAGAAAAATGCAAATTAAAACGAGAAACCATGACACACACTATTATAGTTAAAATTATATTGGCTGACAATACCACATGTTGACAAGGGTGTGGAGCAAATGAAATTTTCTTTCACTGATGAAGTATAAATTGTTTCCACCACTTTGGAAAATCATTTGGCAGTATCTACTAGAGCTAAAGATATGACTACCCAATGACCCAGCAATTCTGCTTCTAGATTTATACACAAGAGAAATGAGCACATATGTCCATAATAAGACTTGCACAAGAACACTCACATCAACTTTATCCATAATAGCAAAACCTGTTAAGAACCCAAATGGCCATAAACAAAAGAATGGATTTTTTTTTTATTGTGGGAATACTACACAGCAATAAAGAAAGAATAAACTACTGATAGATGCAACAGAGATAAATCTCACACTGTATCAAGTGGAAATAAAAAGACACAAAAAGTCATACTGCATGGTTCCATTTCTATGAACAGAAAAACTAATCTATTGTGATAGAAGTCAAAATAGTAGTTACCTCTGGGGAGAGGGTTATTGGCTGGGGAATGGTAAAAGAAAACCTTCTGAGATGATGAAAGTATTTTATATCTTGATCTCGGTGGTGGTTAAATGGTCATGTTGTTGTTAGGTGCCATTGAGACAGAACCAACTCACAGCAACCCTATGTACAACAGAACAAAACACTGCCTGGTCCTGCACCATCCTCACAATCATTGTTATGCTTAAGCCCACTGTTGCAGCCACTGTGTCAATCCATCTCGTCAAGGGTCTTCCTCTTTTTCCCTGACCCTCTATTTTACCAAGCATGATGTCCTTCTCCAGGGACTGATCCCTGCTGATAACATGTCCAAAGTATGTGAGACGTAGTCTCACAATCCTTGCTTCTAAGGAGCATTCTGGTCATACTTCTTCCAAGACAGATTTGTTCATTCCATGGTATATTCACTATTCTCCAACACCACAATTCAAAGGCGTCAAATCTTCTTCTGTCTTCCTTATTCATCATCTAGCTTCTGCATGCATATGAGGTGATTGAAAACACCATGGCTTGTGTCAGGCACACCTTAGTCTTCAAGGTGACATCTTTGCTTTTCAACACTTTAAAGAGGTCTTAAAAAGCAGATTTGCCCAATGCAATGCATCTTTTGATTTCTTGACTGCTGCTTCCATGGGCATTCATTGTGGATCCAAGTAATATGAAATCCTTGACAACTTCAATTTTCTCCATTTATCATGATGTTGCTTACTGGTCCAGTTGCTAAGGATTTTTGTTTTATTTTGAGGTATAATCCATACTGAAGGCTGTGGTCTTTGATCTTCATCAGTAAGTACTTCCTCTTCACTTTGAGCAAGCAAGGTTCTGTCATTTGCATAACGCAGGTTGTTAATGGGTCTTCCTCCAATCCTGATACCTGTTCTTCTTCATATAGTCCAGCTTCTCGGATTATTTACTCAGCATACAGACTGACTAGGTATGACAAAAGGATAGAACCCTGACGCCCACCTTTCCTGACTTTAAACCACACGGTATCCCCTTGTTCTGTCCAAACTGCCTCGATCTATGTACAGGTTCCTCATGAACATAAGTGTTCTGGGATTCCCATTCTTCACAATGTTATCCATAATTTGTTACGATCCACACAGTTGAATGGGTATAGACATATACAGTTTATCAAGGTATACACTAAGATTTATGCACTTTTGTGTAAGCTACACATCAATTTAAAAAATCAAAAACAAAACAAGAACCCTAAGGGAGTAGGTAAGAATAGACAGTAGCCCGCTGCGGTGAGGCAGAGTGGAGGCAGAGAGCATGGACCTTGCAGCTAGAGTTCCTGGCTTCAAATCCTGACCCCACCACTTACTACCTGAGTGACCTTGGGAAACTTACCTCAACTTGCTGGGCCTCAGATTAATCTTTATATTGAGGATAATAACAGCAACTACCTCAAGGTGTCAATAACTCAAAAGATGCAAAGCTTAGGGAAGGAGCTACTATCTAGTTATCTGCCATCAAGTGGCTCCAATTCATGGTGACCTCATGTATCACAGAAAAAAACACTGCCCGTTCCTGCACTATCTTCGTGATTGTTGGTATGTTTGAGTCCATTGTTGCAGCTATTGTGTCAATCCATCTCACTGAGGGTTTCCCTCATTTGGACCGACCCTCTACTTAACCAAACGTGATGTCCTTTTCTAGTGACTGGTCTTTCCTAATGACGTGCAAAGTAAACAAGTCTCATCATCCTCGCTTCTAAGGAGCGTTCTGGTTGTATTTCTTCTAAGACTGAGTTGTTAGTTCTTCTGGCAGTCCACAGTATGTTCGATATTTTTTGTCAGCACCACAATTTGAACCCAACCATCTATTAAAAGTAAGCTCTAAACAAGTACTTGCTATTATGATGATGAATGGTTGAATATTCATTGCTAAGGAGAAAGATGGTCACTTTATAAGAATAAAAGTAACAATTTGCTAGAAATGTATAAAATGTGAAGGTTATCCATTTAATTACATTGCTTCAAAATATATAAATTTAAAAACTGACATAATTACAAAATTATTCAACAAAACAATCATGGTAGAAGTTTAGCATAGTTCTCTCAGTAAATGATAGATAACAGACTAATATTTATAAATTTGTAGACTATTAAACATGAACAGCATGCTTGATCTAGTGGACATATGTAGAAAACATACATTGATTTCAACAACACATGAAGTATCTATAAAAACTGACTATATACTAAGTGAATCAATTAGGGACTGCATTCAGCTATAACACCCCGCCCTTGCCACCAACTACCACTCCAAAAAAATGGTGTCTTCTACCAGTACGAAGTATTTTATTTGTCCATGTTAACAAGACAACCAGAAACGAACAGCCCAGGGCTGGTACAGCCACACAAAAATACCACTGAGGAATCAGGATCATTGTGATTTCTGTCCTTAACCTGTGGCTTTCATCCTCAGGGTAACAGGATGGCTCCTCTAGCTCTGGACATTGTGTCTGCTGTTACAAAAGGCAAGACATGGAGGATCAAGCTAAATGAAACCACTCCCTTCCTACAGTTTTCCCAGAAGCCACAGCCAGTGACTTCTCATATTCATACTGACCAGCACTAGGGGACACATGACCTCTCCTGGCTGCGAGAAGGGCTGGGAGGTGAAGGTTTTTTAATAGTGCACATTACCAACCTGAGCAAAAAACCCAGGTACTTTTGTAAAGAAGAAGGGGCAATTTGGGAAGAAAACTAACAGTACATGCCACTCTAAAATTTAAAAAAAATTTTTTTCAACAAATATCTAAGATTCAATAGCATAAAGATCATGTACTCTGTTCACAGTGTAACTAAATTAAAAACCATAATAAAAAGGCAACTAAAAAACACCCATATGCACGCAACGAACTTTCCAGAATGATAGAAATATTCTGTATCTTGAGTGGGATGTTGGTTACATACATATATGTAGACATCTGACAAGTTCATACAACTGTACATTTAAGGCTTTGCATTTCACTATAAGTTAATTATGCCTCAATAAAAAATATATCCATATATTGTTATTTAAAGCTCTAATTCTAAATACTTCATGAGTCAAAGAATAAGTGATCGTGGAAATTAAGACGACATTTAGAATTAACCCAAAATAAAAAATATATCAAAACACGTGATACAGCTAAGAGAGTCCTAAGAGGGACATTTATAGCCCCAAATAGTTACATTTTTAAAAACTGGAACTTAACTTGCAAAGGGCCCACCATACAGATGAGGCACTGATACAGGCAAGCCAATATTCCTCACGTTTTCTCTCCCACTGTGAATCCTTTTGTGCACAGTAAGTGAAGAGCTGTGCCGGAAGGCTTTATCACACTGATTACACGCATATGGTTTCCCTGCAGTGTGGGTCCTCACATGTACAATAAGGTGTGAAGACTGGCCAAAGGCCCTTCCACATTCCTGACACATGTAGGGCTTCTTGCCAGTGTGAGTTCTTGTGTGTTTCCTAAGGGATGAGGGCTCACTAAAGGCTCGCCCACATTCCTGACATGCATAGGGCTTCTCGCCAGTGTGAGTGCGCATGTGACTCTTAAGAGTTGACAGACGACTCAAGACCTGACCACAAGTACTACACTCATAAAGTTTCTCCCCAGTGTGTATCCTCTTGTGCACACTGAGGTGAGTGCTTGTCCGGAAGGGTTTCCCACACTGGTTGCATTCATAAGGCTTCTCTTTAGTGTGTGTACGCATATGTGTCTTCAACGATGAGTGCTCCCTGAAAGCTTTCCCACACTGATTACAGTCAAAGGGTTTCTCTCCAGTATGAGTTCTCACATGACTCCTAAGAGATGACGGTTGATTAAAAGCTTTCCCACAATCCTTACATTCATAGGGTTTCTCTCCTGTATGGTTTCTCTGGTGCAAAATCAGGTTAAAGTTCCTTGTAAAGGTTTTCCCACACTGATTACATTCAAAGGGTTTCTCACCAGTATGAATTCTCATGTGTCGTCGAAGATTTGAAGAATACTTGAAGGCTTTCCTACACTCTTGACATTCAAAGAACTTCTCTGAAGTATGAGTTTTCTCGTGCCTGGTAAGGTCAGAACTGTATCTGAAGGATTTTTCACATTTGTTACATGCGTAGCTTTTATCTCCACTACAAATTTTCTCAGGCACGATCAGGTGACAGCTCTGGAAGGATTGTCCATTTTCTTTACATTCATAGGGGGCCTCTTCAGTATGAATTCTCTGGTATTGAAAATGCAGTTCAATGCTGTTAAAGCACTTCTCAAATTCATTACATTTATAGAGTTTTCCTCCAGGTTGAGGTAGCTCCTGTCAATTAAGGAAAATGTTGAAGAGCAAAGGCTTTATTACATTCATATTCTTCCCCATATAAATTCTGTGTATGAGAAATATTTACAAAAATGGTTATTTGTAGGAATTCTGTGAATACACAAGTCTTGATCTAGTCTATGTTTAGAGCTTTTCCTCAATAACACTTTGCTATATAAATGGACCAGAGATGGTGCCTGTGTATTAGTCTAAAATGGTCCCCATGTTTTTCTTCACAACAGGCTAGGACATTACCCCAAAACCTGCTGGCGCCAAACTCAAATTCTCACACATCCAGTTGCCTTAAATATAGTTCAAATAATCATAATTTTAGCCATTTAGAGACTACCTATTTGACAAAAACAAAAACATTGCTGTTGAATCTATTTCAACTCATAGTGACCTTATAGTACAGAGTAGAACTGCCCCATAGGGTTTCCAAAGCTGTAAATCTTTATGGAAGTAGACTGCCACATCTTTCTCTTACAGAGCAGCTGGTGGGTTAGAACTACCGGCCTTACAGTTAGCAACCGAGTACTTAACCACTACACCATCAGGGCTCCTTACCTACTTGACATACGCAGCAAAATTGCACCCAAAATCTGCTAACCATAGATCAGGCAAACTCTATAGTTATAAAAGACCTCAAACTGCTGCTGCCCTTCAGAGCTCTCTGACCCAGACACTCCCCGCCTTACTGCTGAGTGACATCACCTAGACACATAAGTTCCCTCTCCACCAGAAGTTCCCTTGCTCTCTTCCCCTCTGGGTGAACTGGGTGGTATCCCTATACCACTGTCTCTGGAAGGTCTCTGGCTTTGAGGGACTGCCTCTCTCATGAAACCATATCCAAGTACCACCGAATAAAAAGTTTGTGTGCCACTGCCTCTCACACTTCTGTCTCTTCCTTCATCAACCCCCAAATCCCCAAACTTACCACACATTCACAGATGCTAAGAAACCACATTCTCTTGGGTGAGCACCACTTGTCTCAAGTCTCTCTCTTGGTTCTTGTGGAGCTTTTCTAACTGACATTAGCCCCAAACTTTTACTATGCTAGAGGACCAACAATAATCCCTGTGAACCTTAACTTACCCTTTTCATGACAATGGATGGGATCTCCCCAAAAATATCTTGGTTAGGAATTGACTCTTGGAGTTGAAGCTGAGGTTCTGAAATAAATTTGGGGGGGGGGGGAATTAAGTGCACAGAGAAGGGAACTGTGGGATCAAGGTGACCAAAAAATAAAGTAAGCAAGGCACCTGTGGATTTTTTTCAAATACTGACCCTAAATATGGGAAGAACTGCAAATGCATCCAAGAGTTAAGAAAAAATTTAAGGCATTTGGCTATCATAGGAACAAGAGATGAAAACAGTAGGTAATTACTAAGAAAGGACTCTACAAAGATTGGAACTGATATTGACAAGAGAATTAACAAAAACATACAGTGGAGAGGAAGTAAATAAAACTTACATGAGGAAATACTAAATGTAAAAAGTAGGACACTTCCTTCTGTGAAACCAGAATACAGCATTAGAGAAGGAGAAAGGATAGCAGAGTTTTCTAAGGGACCTCACACCAAACAGCCCAGCTTTCTCAGTTAAGAGCATTCAAATGTTTCCCTGGATTGACAATTTCCACATGTTCCCCCTACCAACCACAGCGTCTCTCCACAGTGATTCTTGCCTGCCTGGTGCTCACCTGGACAAATTCCTTGGAAGAGTCCTCTCTCGGTGGTCCACAGTTCTTCTATTTGCCCCCAAGGGGAAAACACACTGGGTTTGCACAGTTGATATCCTGCTCATGGGAAAAGACACCAGTGTGGGAGATCTGTGCCCTTCCATAAAACTAGGGCCAGTATTCTGAAGTTTCTAGGGGTTCTGAGGATGAGAGCAGGAAAATGAGCATGCCTGAATTCAGATGAACACAGTAAAGCTCTTTCACTAAGGAGCCATAGTACAAGCTCCCTCACTTGAGTCCCAGAGGATACCAGGGCTCTCCAGTCCCAGAAACACAGGGCCAAGCTCAGGGACACACATGAGAAGCCAGGAAGCATTGAACCATGGAGAAACAGCAATGGATGGCTCTTCATTCCCAAGGGGAAGCCACAAGCCTATAAGCTCCGTGAGGGCAAGACGTCTTTGTCTCTTCACCTGTTTCCCAAACCAGCTTAATTTCAGGAACCCGTGGATGTGCAGATGATGCAACAAGTGCAGCCTTACCCACTGCAGCCAGGTTCCTGCAGTTCTCCAGCATCACTTCTCTGTATAGGCTTCTCTGGGCAGAGTCCAGAAACACCCATTCTTCTTGGGTAAACACCACGGCCACATCCTCGAAGGTTACTGGTTCCTAAAACATCACACCCATCCCAGTTCAGTCAGGAACCACAACCACCAACAGTCACAAGACGACAATGTGCTGGGGAAGGGAGAAATGGTGCAGAGGATTTTCAAACTGGGTTCTGAGGTCTTCCAGAACCTGTCCCTTGACTCAGCGTCAGAACCAGAGCTCTTCTCTATCTATTCTGCACTCCCTGCATGATAGCATCAAGAGGTGTGGCTTCTGCTTCATGAAAGAACTTGTCCATCTACAACTAGCCAGAAAGCCCTTGCAGCTGTATTCTTCTCTAGCTCTAGGATCCAGCAGACCTGAGCAAGCAGAGGCTGAAGAAATATTTGGTAAATGACTGAAGTGTTTGCTCAGTGAGACTATGAAGACTGAAACACAGACAGCTCACATCCTTGCTTTATTTCCCCTCCCAATGCTCAGCAGAACGCAGTTCTCAACAGCCTGAAGAGGGTATGAATGAGGGAATGGGATCATTGCCTAGGTTGCCCCACACCCACTACAAGAGGCCCAGCACCTGGAAGCCTGGAGATCAGCCCTGGGCAGAGCAAAATTCTTTTGGCAGAAGAAAAACGTTTTACTGACCTGTGAACAGGTGGTCAGCAATCCAGGAGTCATCACTTCTGTGCTCTCCTGCTGAAGCCAGGCTGGGTCCTGAGCAGGCAGAGCTAGAGGAAAAGAGAGGAGCTGTTTGAGAGCCCATGCGTCGCCCAAGGTACACACACGCAGGCCTGGAGGCTGCCCTGTCCTGTAAGAGACCACATTCATGCACACACACACACACACACACAGAAAAACATGCATGTACACAGACACAAAAAAACAGACACACATGCACAAACACAGCACACACACAATGTGAATGCACACAGATGCACACATAAATGCATACACATATACGCACTCATGCACCTACACAAAGGCATGCACACACACATACACAAAGACGCACACCATACACATGCACACGCACGTTTGTCAGGGAAACTACAGCACTCTACCTTGCCTAGAGCCAGAATAACATTTATAGATAACACACACACACACACACACACACACCCCTATATTCCCTCCACTACAAATCCCAGAAGCCACTGTCTCAATTCACCAGCTGACTCTGAAGCTCCTGATGCTCCACAACCTCCTTTCTTGGATTCAGTCTCTTGGACAGTTCGTCCTCCCTGGCTGCTCAGCCCTTCCTCTGCCCTCCCTCTGCAGGGCTAGTATTGACCCACAAACTTACCACAAGCAAGGTACTGATAAACCACTAACACCCTGAGAGCCAATGTGAGAGAGGGTGACACCCTTATCTCCTGCCTTCAAATCCCTAACATCCTGACATTACCACCAGGTATTCTCCCTCTTTCCTACTGCAGACAAGCCAAAAACTCCCTGACCATCCCTGCCTTCTCCTTACCCTCGCCTCTCCCTCTTGACCAGACCTCTCCCTTGGCGTTTAATCCTGAGCGCATCCAGGCTCTGACCCTACTTCTCCCTCTAGCTGCTGTTCTCTCTGTTCCTCTGTGTCCATCACTCACTGCCCACTCACTTCCCACCTCTTCAAGGCCAACACCTTGCTAGGACCACCAGAGACCTCCTTCCATGGAGAGGAATCCAGTCCATGTATCTGGCCATCCAATCCCTCCTCTTGGAGCTCACTTCCCCTGGGCTTTGGTGACCACACCCTAAGCTATCCTTCTTGGTCTCCTGTACAAGCTCCTCCTCCATCACGAGATACTAGCATCCTCACCTTGCTGACCTTCCTCTTTTCCCCCTCTCCCTCTGTACCCTCAGCACTGACAGGCAACCTCACACAATCTTTGGGCATCAGTTCCCAACTCTATCCTGACAAGGCCCTAATCCCCAAGCTGACTCTCACCTCTCAACCTCAGACCCATGATTTATGTCCCCCAAAAATGGTATGTTCAAATCCTAACCCCCGGTACCTGTGGATGTGACATTATTTGGAAATAGGGTCTTTGAAAATATGATCTGCTAAAATGAGGTCATACTGCAGTAGGATGGGCTCTAATCCAATATGACTGGTGTCTTTATAAAACAGAAGAGACACGCAGGGAGATGCAGAGTCAAGATGGCCAGAGACTGGAGTGGTAGGTCTACAAGCCCAGAAATCAAGAATGGCCAGCTATCACCAGAAACTAGGAGAGAGGCATGGAATAGATTCTCTCTCAGAACCTCCAGAAGGAATCAAACCTGCTGACACCTTGATTTTGGGCTTCTGGCCTCCAGAACTGTGACAGAATAAATTTCTGGGGGGGGGTTGTTTACTTGTTTTTATTTCTATTGTCTTAAGCAGTTTGAGATACACTGTTACAGCAGCCCTAGAAAACTAATACACCACCATTGGCTCAAATATCTCCACTTGTCTGAGGAAACACGAATGAACGTATCCAAAACAAGCTCATCTTCTTCCTGAAGCCTGCTCTTACTCCAGTGTTCCCAGTCTCAGGAAGTGACTTCCCTGCCTACAGCTGCTCAGATCAGAAATCTCACCTTCTGGCACCCTACAGACCCCACCAATTTTTTAAAAAATCGGTGATGATGCTTCTACATGGAGTATTCACCACTCATCCCCTTCCCTCGCACTCCATCGCCACAATGGCTAATGTCCACATTACACCTTCTGCTATGGACTGAACTGTGGACCCAAAAAATATGTGTTGTAAATCCTATTCCCTATACCTGTAGTTATAATTACATTTGGGAATGGGTTTTCTTTGTTATGTTAAAAGGCCATACCAGTGTAGGGTGTTTTAAGCCAATCAGCTCTGAGATATAAGAAGAGCTGATTAGGCATAGAGAGGCAAGCAGAGATGGGGGAAGATAGATGCCACATCACATGAAGATCACCAAGGAACTAAGGAACAAAGACCTTCCCCCCAGAGCCAACAGAGAGAAAGCCTTCCCCTAGAGCTGACACCCTGAATTCAGATTTCCAGCCTCCTAAACGGAGAAAATAAATTTCTTTCTTAAAGCCATCCATTTGTGGTATTTCTGTTACAGCAGCACTAGGTAACTAAAATACCTTCTCTTTTTGATTCCACTTAAGTGTCACTCCCTCAGTGTGTCCCTTCCTGGAGTCTATTCCATGATATAAAGGGTCCCTTCTCATCTTGTCTCTACCGGTACCCTCCTCCTTTTTTCACAGCCCTTACCTATCTTAATCAGATGTTTATTTGCTTCCTCAGGCGCTTCTTTTCTGTCGCCCTCAGACAGACTGTGAGCTTCACAAGGACCAGCCTGTACCCTCTTCTTTTCACCCTCAACATCCCACCCTCGCACACGCTGACACGTAAGTGCTAGGTATCATCTAGTAAGTGAATAAATGCATCACCACCCAACTGTCTCGCCTAGGCCTCCTGCACATAGATTGTCCCACTCTCTCCACTGTGCAGGACAGAGTTCCCACAGAAGACCTAGCTGCCGTCTTACAAAGGCCTGCTTACAAGGTCGGCATCTGAGAACTTGATTTTGGGAGGGTTCCCGCCACCCTAACTGGTAAGAGTGGCTCACTGTGTCCAGACTGTGCACACACACTATGGTTTATACTGAACCTCTGCTTTCCTTCTGGGAGTCTGGAATTTTGGAATGTGCCAGGCAGGGACTGCCCACATGACCAAGTCTCAACAAAAACCCTCAAATGTTGAGTATCTAATGAGTTTCCCTGGTGGACAACACTTCACATGTACTGTCACAGCTCTTTGCTGGGGGAACTCAACGCATCCTGTGAGACTCTACTGGCAGAGGACTCTTGGAAGCCCGTGCCTGGTTTCCCCAGGCTTTGTGTCATGTGTCTTTTCTCTTTGCTCATTTTGTTTTGTATCCTTTCCTGTAACAAATCCTGTGAACAATCGCAGCCTGAGCATAACTATATACTGAGTCCTGTGAGTTGCCCTAGCAAATCATCAAACCTGGGGGTGGTCTTTATTGTTTTCGCTGTTGTTGTTAGCTGCCATCCAGTCACCCCCAACTCATGGCGACCCCACGTACAACACAATGAAACACTGCACAGTCCTGCACCATCCGCATGATCAGTTGTGGATCAAAATGTTGTGATCCACCAGGTTTTCACTGGCTGACTTTCAGAAGTAGGTCACCAGGCCTTTCTTCCTAGTCCTTAGTCTGGAAGCTCCACTAAAAACTGTTCAGCATCATAGCAACATGCAAGCCTCTACTGACAGATGGTGGAGGCTGCGATGAGGTACACTGAAGGTGGTTTTAGAGACCCTCAATACGTCTATTCCACGTTCACCCCCCAAGTCTAGGCCACCACCATTCTATTTCTGCCTCTGCCCCCTACTCCCTGAGACGCTTCGTCCACCCGCACCACAGGTGCTGTTAAAACCACAGGCACCCCCCACCACTCACCTAAATGCTTGGCTGGCTTCCCAGTGGCCTTGGAACATGGGCCAAGGTTCTTCTCCCACCTTCCAGGCCCTGGATGATCTGGAGCCCACACCCTCTCCTGTCAGCTTCTATCATTATCCACTTCCCTCTCCTTCCTCTCACAAGCCTTCCGTGAACCCTTGGACACACCACGCTCTCTGCTCTGAGGCATTTTACAGATGCTGTTCGTAGGCCTGAAATCTTCTCTCCAGCATCTCCCAATAGTCCAATGCTCTGCCAAGCTAAATGATACAGTAATTATGTTCTAAGCCAGTGCTTCTCAACCAGGGGCAATTTCACCTCCCCCCCTCCCCAGGGGCTTCTGATGATGTCTGGAACATCTTTGGCTGTTACAACTGGGGCAGAGAGATGCTACTGGCATCTGGTGGGTAGAGGCCAGGGATGCTATTCAACATCCTACAGCGTACAGGTCAGCCCCCACCACAGAGAAGGATCTGGTCTCAAATGTCACTAGTGCCAAGGTGGAGAAACCCTGATCTAAGCTTAAATTTCCAACACCCATCTGTTAGTTTGTCATACTGTGGTGGCTTGCGTATTGTTATGATGCTGGAAGCTACGCCACCAGTATTTCCAACAGACGCAGGATCACCCGTGGTGGAGAGGTTTCAGTGGGGCTTCCAGACTGACAGACTTGGAAGAAAAGCCTGGCAATCTACTTCTGAAAATTAGCCAATAGAAATCCTACAGATCACAACAGAATATTGTCCAAGATAGTGCTGGAAGACGAGCCCCCTAGGTTGGAAGGCACTCAGAATACACCGTGGCTACAACAATGGACTTACGTATACCAACGATTGTGAAGATGGCACAGGAGCAGGCAACATTTTGTTCTGTTGTACATGGGGTTGTCATGATTTGAAGATGACTCGATGGCAACCAACAACAACAAGAAGCTTAAATTTATCTGTCCTTTCTCAGACTCTTCCATGTTCTCCAAGATGAAGTTCTTCTGTCACATCCTGGTCTTCACTGAAAACTCTGATCACACAGCCAGACTGAACTCCACAGGGGCAGGCATTTTGTCTGCAATGTACCCTGTACTTCTCTCACCACACAACAGCCATACTCCTTTCAAGAGCAACAAGGTAGAGCCTGGCCCAGAGGGTTTACCAAAAATACACAGAACGACAACACATGCATTAAATCTGACGATTACTTCCTGTCGATAATACAGATTACAAAAGCATGATTAAATGATATTTTTAAGAAACACGCTTATTCTTACTACAAAGGCGAGTTGAAAAGAAACAAATGCCTTGCAATTAAAGCCAAAATGTTATTTGTCCTCCAGAACTATCTTTCCCCTATATCCCCTAAGAAGAGGCTTTTAACCTCATTTTTTAAAAGTTCAGTTAAAGCATATGCCATTTGTAGTAAATTCTGTTGTAATTTTCAGCTTCGACATAACGACACAGGTCATTCTGGAATTCCCCGCTGTGAATCTTTGTGGGGATTTTCTCTCAGGGCCCAGCGTGGCTAACAGGACAGCAAGCAAGCTGAGTGGTCCTGCTCTTTCTTAACAGAAAGATGTGTGACCAACAGGAAAAAAAATCCTGCCCACTATCCTTAGAAAGTATCTTTCCCCGTTACGGATTGTGCCCCCAAAAATGTGTTGGAATCCTATCCCTATACATGTGGATGTAGTCCTATTTGGAAATAGGATTTTCTTTGTCATGTTAATGAGGTCATATCAGTGTAGTGTGTGTCCTAAATCTAATTGCTCCCAGTTATAAAAAGAACAGATTAGGCCCAGAAGCAAGCAAGCACAAACAGAGAAGACAGATACCATGTGGAGACCTCCAAGGAATGCCAAGAACGCTACAGAAGCTGAGACAAGGATTTTCCCACAGAGCCGATGCCCTGAATTCAGACTTCTGGTCTCTCCAACTATGAGAAAATATATTTCTGTTCGTTAAAGCCACCCACTTGTGGTATTTCTGTTATGGCAGCACTAGGAAACTAAGACACCCCCAAATGCATAAGTAACAGGAGATTTCTTTTTGAGTATCACCCGATGATGCCACACAATGCCTGCAGTCAGGGCAAACGGAGGCAGAACATGCGTTCGGTACACAACAGGGAGGACGGCAAACTCCACTCAGCACTCACTCACCAGAGCACCCGGATACCCCCAGGTCAAAGAGGCCCAGCACAGGCATCACCACCCTCTGGGTCTGCACTGGCGCCTTCCGTCCCTGGACAAAGTGACAGAGGTCCCGTTTAAAGTCGTGGCATTCCTCTTACACCCGTTTACCCCAACTGAATTTGCACGACTGGCCCTGCTCTGGGTAATGTTCCTGATAAAAGGGACACCCCACTTACCTTGATGAGATTTGCCTAACTCTTGAATATATTAAGCTAATCACTGTGATAGAATTTCAACGCCAAAATGGAATGGAAAGAGGGTGCCCATCCTCTGAGTGGCCACCAGCAGCGGGGGAGCCCCCAGTTAGGGAAAGGCTGGAGCAAAGGTGGAAGGGAGGGACAGCTAGGCAGGCTGTGGGGCAGCAGAAAGACCACGGGGGACAGAGTAAGCAGGGGTGGCTGAGTAGTTCCCAGAAGGAAGCCCTATGGTAGGAGAAAGGACTTGAACTTCCCTGGAATGGTGCTGCTTTCTCTGGAGAGGTGTGAACCTGACTTGCATTTCTCAGGAATCCCTCTGGCCTCAGGTGGAAGCAGCAAGCTGGCAGGACAGTCTCCATGGTGCAGGAGAGAGCTAGCGGTGGTGCTGGGCAGGGTGGGTACAGTGGAGACAGAGAGGACTGTCACTGGTGGGTTATGTTTTGCAAGTAAAGCTCGCAGAGCTTGCTGGTGGAGGGGAGGTGAGAGGTAATCAAGGCAAGAGAGAAATCCAGGCCAGGGAATGGGCTCTGGGTCAAAAGCAGTTGTCTCTTCAGCCCACACGCCAGGGGGTGAGGGGACTCAGAGTGTCCAGCTTTCACAAGGTGCTTAATGAACAGGGGCTGACGATGGGGTGGCCTGGGTCAGAGACAGGCAGTTCTCGTAAATAAACTCTGATGCTCAGGTCAGGTCAAGGTTGCCTAAGAAGACTGATGCAGAGAGGGTGCCTCTTCCCAAAGGAGGCCTCGTATAGGATATTTATACACGTTTAGGGAGAGGGGGAGAGCAGGCTGGAAGGGAAGCCCCTGAGACATTAACGGAAGTGCCCAGGGAGGGGTAGGGTGGGAGCCAAGGCAGCACTGATTCTGTTTCAGGTACTGTACAGATCTTCTAGAATGAGCACACAAACCTTTAGTAACAGAGAAACACATTATTTTTAAAAGCACCACCAATGTCTCCAATAACCACAAGAAGTAGATAAGGAGCCCTGGGTCCATGTGCAGCATCAGGGAAGCTGGCAGGGACGGGCCTGTGAGCTGTGGAGGAGCCAGGCATAGCTGGAGGCCTCAGGCAACAGGCGGGAGGTGTGGGGGGGATAAGGAGGGCAGCATTTAGAACCATCTCTGGATGGCCCTGGGCCAGGGCCGCAGGTCCAGGACTTGGGATCCTGATCCTCCCTCCTCAGTAATCCTGGGGGCCTGCTTCCTCCGCAGCAAACAGGAGAGTCCTGGGAGGGCATGGGTGTCAGGACGGGGACAACCCTCTCTGAGTAGGTGGTCCTGGGATCTCATGGCAGCCAGGATACTCTCAGCAAGTAGGGGAAGGCTGAGGATTCACTAAGTAAGGGCCTGGGGTGGCCCGGGGAGGGGACCTGCTGCTGCGCATCAGCCCCGCATCGTCTGTGAGAGCAAGGACCCCTCCCATGAGTGCACACATCAAAAGGTCCCCCAGGGGAGTGACGGACATGGGGGAGAGGCCCCCTTCTCCCTAGGGCAGGGCTCATGATGAGCCTAAAGCGTCATCTCCCATATTCTCTCCACCATCTTCACCAGCCTGAACATCCCTCATCCAGCCCTCGTTCATGATCCACTGCTTCCTGAAGGCTTCCAGGTCATGGAAGGGATGCGGGTGGGAGGAAGGATGGGAGGAAAAAAGGCAGGACAGCAGGAAAGGCAGGGTCCACGGCGGGCTGCTGACCACTCTCCCCAGACTCGCCCAGGGCCTGTGACCACCTGGGGACAAGCAGCTTGCTCAGGTGTTCTCACCTGGGCTGAGCCTGGGCCTCCTGCACACTCCCGACTCCCAGACTCCCAGCTGTAGGCCCTAGATTCCCCTCCCCACCTCTTTCCCTTTCCCCACCTACAGAAACAAGTAGCCTGGCCCTCCTGGCTCTGGAGGGACCCTCACAGCAAACCCTCCCTAGTAGTACCGTGTATCCAGAAGACCAAGGCAACTTCGGCAAAGCTGGCAGGTCCTCCTCAGTCGAAGGTGCTCCCCTCTCTCCCACTGAGGGCTCAGTCTGTATCTTCAGGTAGACCCCTGGCCCCTGGGAAAGGCAGGGAGGGGCATTGAGCACACCGAGGCCCCAGGATGTTCCCAGCCTAAAGCCTCAGTTTGGGGTCCTGTGCTCAGAGGACCCGATGACATGCACTCACCCCTTCCCACTGCAGGTGCCAGCCTTCGACGAGGGTCTCCAAGGAGATGCAGAGGCAGACCTGATACCTCTCGGATCACGGATACCCCAGCTGGAGGTCAGGCCATGAGCCCCCAGAGACGCTGCAAGATATTTTACTTTATGGAAAGGTTTGAGCGTTTATGTCTGAATACAAATGTCTTCATTAGAACAATTCTGAAACAGGTAACTCTTCTTGAAGGGAACGTGTTGAGGAGCTTAGCCACTGAATTTCTGTATTTGTTTAGCAAATACTTACTAAGCACTGCTAGTGCTGGGGTAGGCTATAGGTACTGAGGATGCGGCAGAGAATGGGGTAAAACCAGCAGTGAGGAGCGAGTGGTGTCAGGGAGACAGCATGGGGGTGGGGGGAGGCGGCATGGAGAGGTCCAGGATGGCTGGAAAGCTGAGCCGGGACACACCATCCTAAGAAAATCTCTGTCCCACATAGCTAACCTGGCCACCAGCACTCTTGTCCACATGACGGGGTGGCCTGAAGGCCTCAGCACTACTCCATGCGGCCTGAATGATTGGGACAAGGCTGAGTGATGCCTGGCATGGTCCCAGAAGGGCAGCTGACGGGTCAGCACCACCAACTGAAAGGCGCTGTGTGACCCTCGCTCTAGTTTTTCCACACATGCAGTAGAGCCTGGTGGTGAAAAGCATGGTCTCAGGAGTTAGGCCTGGAGCCAACTCCCAGCACCTCCACACCCAGCTCTACCACTTACGGGCTGTGTCTTTAGCAACGACCTGCTTAACTTCCCTAAACGTACGTCCAGAGTACGCCTCCTCTGCTGTTCAAAGCTCTCTGCTCCTCCCTGTTCCCTGGGCTCTGAGGCAGCAGAAGCCCCTCCTGTCCCACCCTCGGTGGGTGACACTGAGGGGTCTGCTGGGCTGAGCATGGAGCTCTGAGGAAGGTGCCAGAGCCCTGTCCTGAGAGGAAAGAGCCCACAGAACCCAGAGGACACTGGCCCTCGTGGGGTCATCTTCCCTCCCTCACACGGTCCACCTGCTGGTCTGGAGACGCCTTCACCCAGCATTGAGCCGTTCACACCTTCGTTCAACCAACATTAACTGAGGCCAATGTAATGATGTACTGAACACTCTGTAATGGGGTTACGGCAACAGATCAGAACCAAACCACCAAACCCACTGTTGTCAAGTCAATTCCGACTCTTAGCAACCCTACAGGTCAGAACAGAACAGCCCCATAGAGTTTCCAAGACTGTAAGTCTTTATAGGTGCCAAATGCCACATCATTCTCCCCCACAACAGCTGGTGGATTCAAACCACTGACCTCTCAGTTAGCAGCCAAGCACTTCAACCATTACACCACCAGTGCTCCCTAACAGGTCGGACAAGGCCCTGCAATCCAGCAGCTCCCATTGGGGTCTCAGAGAACAGACCTCCAAACGCCCTTTCCCAAGCAGGATACTCTCTATCCAAACAAGAGTGAAAACCGAGGAAGTGGAGGACCCAGGGAGGAGGTGGCAGGTCTCCAATGCCCAGGGTCTCTCACAGCTGTGTCTGCAGCCTATACCAGGCTGTACAGGGTGGAGGCACCATGCACTCTGGGAGCTTCCCAGCAAACAAAGCAGGGTCTCTACAATCTAGGCCTGTACCTCCTCTACTAGGTCAGGGTCTCTGACACTCCAGTGCTGATCCAGGCCTGGGGGAGGGCGCAGAAGGAGCCATCTCACTGGTTCTGGGACAGAAAGGACCAGCTCAAGCCCTCACCCGAACTCTGACCAACCTCAGATTGGGATCCCAAACTTTGGGAAGTCCTGAGTTTGGGGAGGAGGGTACTCAGGGCCAGAGGGGGGCCGGCGGCAGGGCTCTGTGTGTACTTCCTGTGCACTGTCCCACATAAGCCGGCTCTGCCAGCTTTCCCACACCAACACCAGACAAAGGGCTTCCTTCTGGGGTGGGTCTCATTTGTCCCCCAAAGGGTGAGGGATCCCAGACAACATTCCCACATTCTTCACGATCCAAGTGGTCCTCTCTTGTGTGAGTTCTCTCATGCAGAGTCCAGGCTCAAGCTCCTCCTGAAACCTGTCCCACTGCAATTAAATTCACAGTGTCTCCTCTCCAGGCCATCTATTCCTGATGAGGGTGAGTGATGAGGAGAAGCTTGCCTGTACTCTCAACCCGCGTGGGGATTCTCCGTCAGGAGCACATCTCCAGCGTTTTTGCAGATGTGCACTATTTTGGCAGTTCATGTTCTTGAAAGTGAAGGAGCTGAACGCTCTGTGCACAGGGCTTTATCCTATCACCACTTTCACTGGGCCTCTCTGACAAGCAGCTTTTTCCTGACAGTCGTCCACAAGTCGATTATATTTCAAACACTCAGTGCACATCTGACTCACATCTGTGGAAATGTTTACTTGTGGAACTCTCTGGGAAGAAAGAGTCTTGAGTGACAGCTAGAGTTTGCTCAAATCCCTGAGTCTAGACGCTCCTGTTAGACATGACTCGAACATCTCCCTGGTGCTGGTGCTGCATTGCCAACTCACATTTCCTCAACGTCTCCTGCGACAGAGAACCAATGACAACCCCCTGCGGATCTTACTCTCTTAGTCACCTTGTGCTGTTGTAACAGAAATACCACAAATGGGTGGCTTTAAAGAACAGAAATTTATTTTTTCACAGTTCAGGAGGCTAGAAGTCCAAACTCAGGATGTGGCTCTAAGGGGAGGTCCTTCTTTGTCTATTTCAGCTTCTAGTAGCTGCCAGCAATCCCCGGAGTTCCTGGGCTTGTAGATTTACCTGCCTCCATCACCGTCACATGGTATCTGTCTTCCCCTGTATGTGCATGTCTGTGTCTATGCTGTTCTTTATAGGCTCAGAAGTGATTAGGTTTAGGATCCACCTTACACTGGCATGACCTCAACTGACTAATCGACTGCATTACATTAGATTGCACTGTGGACGGTGATCACATTGTATTGTTAGATTACATCCACAGATATACGAGTCAGGGTTCTAACACATACTTTGGGAAGACATAATTCAATCATAACACTTACCATCTGCACATCATGAGATGATTTTTCCTCCCAAATATCCTGCATGGAAGTTGACTCTTTGGGTTTGAGATTCCCTGTCTAAAAAGAATTGGAAAAAAAAAATTTCAACTTCTTTCAGAAAGAAATACCAAAACTAAAACCAAACCCTTTGCCATAGAGTCAATTTTGACTCATATCAACCCTATAGGCCAGAGTAGAACTGCCTCATAGGATTTCCAAGTCTGTAATGTTTACAGATGCCGACTGCCACATCGTTCTCCTGCTGAGGAGCAGGTGGGTTTCAATTGTAGACCTTCTGGTTAGCAGTTGAGTGCTTAAGCATTGTACCACCAAAGCTGCTTCAGAAAGAAATAGCTATGAAACTGACTAAAAAAAAAGCTTTTTAAAAATACTGACCCTAAACTTGGGAAGAGACAGAAAGGAAAGGAGGCATCAGTAAGCAAAGACAGACTTTTAGGAGTGCGGCCGCAGGCAGAATTTGGCAATGATAGGAACAAAGGGGAAATGGGAGGCAATTTCCTAGCTAAATATTCTATGATGATTGAGACTGATGTTGCCAGAAAGGGGGTATTATCAGGAGAACAAGCAAGAAGCAGTCAGACAAAGAATACACACAGAAAGGTTAAATTTAAAGAGGAACACAACAATAACAAGTGTTACTGGCAGGGATGCAGAGAAATTGGAACCCTCATAAATTGCTGGTAGGAATGTAAAACTGTGCAGCTGCTGTGGAAAAGTCTGGCGGGTCCTCAAAATGCTGAACACAGAATTACCGTGTGACCCAGCAATTCTGTTGTTGTTGGTGGTGCCATCAAGTCGGTTCCGACTCATAGTGACCTTATATGCAACAGAACGAAACACTGCCCAATCCTGCACCATCCTCACAATTGTTGTTATGCTTAAGCTCACTGTTGCAGCCGCTGTGTCAATCTATCTCGTTGAGGGTCTTCCTCTTTCTCAATGACCCTCTACTTTACCAAGCATGATGTCCTTCTCCAGGGACTGATCCCTCCTGATAACATGTCCAAAGCATGTGAGACGTAACCTCGCCATCCTTGCTTCTAAGGAGCATTCTGCCTGTACTTCTTCCAAGACAGATTTGTTCATCCTGTTGGCAGTCCCTAGTATGTTGAATATTCTTCGCCAACACCACAATTCAAAGGCGTCAATTCTTCTCTGGTCTTCTTAATTCACCGTCCAGCTTTCACATGCATCTTTGCTTTTCAACACCTTAAAGAGGTCTTTTGCAACAGATTTGTCCAATGCAATGTGTCGTTTGATTTCTTGACTGCTGCTTCCATGGGTGTTGACTGTGGACCCGAGTAAAAGGAAATCCTTGACAACTTCAATCTTTTCTCCGTTTATCATGATGTTGCTTATTGGTCCAGTTGTGAGGACTTTTGTTTTCTTTATGTTGAGATGTAATCCATACTGAAGGCTGTGGTGTTTGGTCTTCATCAGTAAGTGCTTAAAGTCCTCTTCACTTCCAGCAAGCAAGGTTGTGTCATCTGCATAATGCAGGTTGTTAATGAGTCTTTCTCCAATCCTGATGCCCCGTTCTTCTTCATATAGTCCAGCTTCACGGACTGGTCCCTCCTAATAACACGTCCAAAGTTAGTGAGATGAAGTCTCGCCATTCTCATTTCTAATGAGCATTCTGGCTGTACTTCTTCCAAGACAGATTTGTTTGTCCTTCTGGCAGTCCGTTGAATAAGTATGGTAAAAGGATACAAACCTCATGCACTCCTTCCCTGATTTTAAACCATGCAGTATCCCCTTGTTCTGTTCGAACAACTGCCTCTTGGTCTATGTACAGGTTCCACGTGAGCACAATTAAGTTTTCTGGAATTCTCATTCTTCACAATATTATCCATGATTTGTTATGATCCGCACACTCAAATGCCTTTGCATAGTTAATCAAACACAGGTAAACATCTATTCTCTGGAATGACATCAAGGATATCATACATGAAGAAAGCAAAAGGTGTCTAAAAAGATAGAGAAGAAAAAAAAGACCAAAATGAATGTCAGAAGAGACTTTGAAACTTGCTCTTGAACATACTCTAGCTAAAACAAAAGGAAGAAATGATGAAATAAAAGAGCTGAACAGAAGATTTCAAACGGCAGCTCAAGAAGACAAAGCAAAGTATTATAACGAAATGTGCAAACACCTGGAGTTAAAAAACCAAAAGAGAAGAACACACTCGGCATTTCTCAAGCTGAAAGAACTGAAGAAAACATTCAAGTCTCAAGTTGCAATACTGAAGGATTCTATGGGCAAAATATGGAATGACACAGGAAGCATCAAAAGAAGATGGAAGTAATACAGTCACTTTACCCTAGGTACGGGTTAGTATTCCAACACGTATTTGGGGGTTAAGGAGGGAAGGACACAATTTAATCAATAACACAGGTTCAGCAACAAGTTAGTAGTATGAAAAAAGGGGGTGGGGAGAGAACTACTCTACAATGATAGAAACCTAAGTGGTTTAGCAAGTAACCCTTTGAACCTGCTGCTTTTGTAAATCCAAATGTGAGAAATTTGTTTTGGTCATGATTCAAAACTATAAAAACCACTTTTATGACAACCGAGGATTTATAATCATGAACTAGGTATCCATTAATTTTGGGGGTGTGTAATAATGGCCTTGTAGTTCTATAAGATGGTGTCAGTTTTTTTTTTTTTTTTTAGAGATACATGTTCAAGTATGTCAGAGTTAAGTGACAGGATAGCTGCGAGTTGCTCTAAAATACTCAGCAAAGAAAAAAGGTGACAGAAAAAAAAATCTTTATAATTGTTGAATCTAACTTCCTTCAACATTTGGGCAAATCCTACAGTTTAAGTTTTGGCTTTCTTTGTAACTATGCTGACCAGCGCTGCAGAGCCTCCACTTACCAGCTTAGAGAGCTGCTCCTAAAACTCCTTCTTTAAGGCATTAGAAGTTTTGGCTTGATCTCTTAATATTTTTAGAAGTCCCCAGGGCCCCTCCCAGGGCTTACATATGAATTCAGTAATCTTTTATACTAGTTAAAAAAGGACTTCCATTACATCTGAGAAACTTGATGACCTTTTAATTTCAGAATTCGCTAGAGCAGCACTGTCCAGTAAGCTTCCCATGATGATGGGAATGTTCTATGCCTACGCTGCCAAAATCACAGCCACCAGCCATGTGTGACTGTTGAGCACTTGAAATGTGGCTAGGTAAAAGGAGTGAGGGTAGAATCAGAGCACCAAGCAGGGGTTTGGCACAGGTAATTCCATTTCTGTGAGCCTCCAGCAAGGGCAGACAATCTAAAAACCTGTGTTGTTAGCTGCCATTGAGTACGCCCCCAACTCAGGGCAATCCTATGCACAATGGAACTAAACACAGACCAGTCCTGCGCCATCCACATGATCAACTGCAGATGGAACCACTGTGATCCACAGAGTTTTCAGTAACTGATTTTTGGAAGTAGATCCCCAGGCCTTTCTTCCTAGTCTGTCTGAGTCTGGAAGCTCCACTGAAACCTGTTCAGCATCACAGCAACACTCAAGTGTCCACTGACAGATGAGTGGTGGCAGCACACGTGGTGCATTGGCTAAGAATCAAACCTGGTTCTCCCTTATTCCAGACCACCATGAAAACCCGTTGCCATCAAGTCGATTCTGACTCATAGCGACTCTATTAGACAGAGTAGAACTGCCTCATAGCGTTTCCAAGGCTGTAATCTTTATGTAAGCCGACTGCCACCTCTTTCTCCCTCAAAGGAGCTAGTGGGTTCAAACCACTGACTTTTCAGTTAGCAGCTAAGCACTTAACAACTGCACCACCAGGGCTCCTTTTCAGACCACAGCCTCTGGTAATTTCTACTGGTTCCTCCCACTTAATAAAAAGATCGTTCTTCTCTTACATTCTTTCATAATACCTCTAAGGCCTGCTACGTCTCCCCTTCTGCCCTTATCAAGTTGTCATTTTATATTTGTTTATGCAGGTGTTTTTACCTCTCTCCTCCCAACTAGGATGTAAACTAAGTACAGACCTGTGTCCACTTTTACAGGACTTCATTCCCAGCCACCAGCACAGTGTTTGATACGTATTAGGTACTTTATATATCACGAATCAGCAAACTTTTCCTGTAAAGGGCCAGGTAGCAAATATCTCAGGCTTTGTGGCCCATACGGTATCTGCTGCAACTACTTTGTGGTTATAGCGTGAAAGCAGCCATAGACAATATGTAAGCAACATGTTCCAATTAAACTTAGAGAAACTGAGTTTATTTTTATTTACTGAGCTGGATTTGGCCCACAGGTCATAGTTTGCTGACCTCTGCTCTCTATCATGAGGTAGATAGAAGACATCAATCACCACATTCTCTCAACTCTACACCCTGCACGTGTCTCAAACATTCCAATCTTCCCAGTTCCACAGCCATCAAGCCTCGCCCACCATCATCCGAGTTCAGAACTTATTCGCACTCCCATATTGCGTCTATATCCACTCTTGTCCTTCCTAAACTCCACGCTCAATCCAGAAGATACTGCTTTGTTTAAGTCACAAATGTAACTACATCACTCCCCTATTTAAAACTGATTTAATGGCTTCCCGGTGGCCTTTAGAACAAGGTCCAAAGTTTACCATGACTTTCAAGGCCTAGTCTTCCTCTCCAGCCTAGCTCAGTGACTCTGAACTTTCTCTACTTTAGCTTTCCCTGTCTTTTCTAGACTCCAGAACACACCAGGCTTTGTACTCTTATCTGTGTGATGGATTGAATTATGTCTCCCGAAAATATGTGTTGTAAATCCTAACCTCTGGGTTATAATCTCATTTGGGAAAGGGGTGTCTTTGTTATGTTAACGAGGCAGGATTAGCATAGGGTGTATCTTGAGTCAATCTCTTTAGAGATATAAAAGAGATTAAACAAGCAAGTGAGCAAGCAGAGATGGGGGAAGATGGATGTCAAGCCACATGGAGATCTCCAAGGAACCAGGAAACAAGTTGAAGAGACAAGGACTTTCCTCTAGAGCCAACAGAGAGAGAAAGCCTTCCCCTAGAGCTGGTGCCCTGAATTTGGACTTATAACCTCCTAAACTGTGAGAAAATAAACTTCTGTTTGCCACAGCCACCCACGGGTGGTATTTCTGTTATAGCAGTACTAGTTAACTAAGACTGCAGTGTTCTCTCAAATCCTCCCCCACACTCATACTCCAAAGCCCAATCCTTTGTTTAGCTACCTCCAACTCATCTTTTAGGTTCAAACATCTGTCCCTTTTAAGATGTTTTCCCTCACCAAACCCACACTCCCTACAAATTCTCCAGTTACATGTTCCCATATCACTCAACATTATTTGTTTAAAATCTGTCTTCTCAGCTAGAATAGACCCTCCACTGGAGCAAGCACTATTTCAGTCACAATGAACCAGGAAATACGGTTCATTGAGGGCACCCTAATGAAAAGGTCTCCCCAATAATAATTCACTATAGCTACTATATGAAGCCGTGCATGCGCACACACACACATACACCACCACCGCCATTATAACATATATATAACATACAAATTAAATGGAAGAATGACTTAAAATGCCTGTCCATCATGTAAAAAAATCACACTAGATTTCGGATGTCTTTAAGAAACAATGCTAATTCTTTCTAAAAAGGCAAGGTAGAGCAGGTATTCTTTTTGACAACAAATGCCTTACTCTTCAAATTGAAATCTGGTGCTTAATTTTCCTCCAGAATTAATTGTTTCCTCATCTCAGTAAAAGTGAGCTTTTAACTCCATTATGAAAAAGGTAACAGTCAAAGGATATCCCATTGAGAGTCAACTCAATTTCAGTTTCTAGTACTAACATAACAAAGCATATGTCATCGTTTTTCTGGAGTCCCCTATATTTTGAAGGTTTGTGAGTATTTGCAGGCTAAGGGTAACAGCTGGAGGTCACTTGAAAAGAATTGAATGGTTCTTTGATGCTAACACTTGCGACTACAAATATACAACTGAGAAATCGCTTTTCTTAAGGTAAATTTATGTTACAGTGAAAAACACTGATGCCCACAGTCAAAGTAAAAGTCACAAGTTAAAAGCTGTCTGGAAAGGAAGGGAAAGGGAGAAGAGAAAAAGTGGAAGGAGGAAAGAAAGCTAAGCTAAGCTATACTAAACTAAGCTAAAACCAAAAAGCCAAACCTGTTGCAATCCAGTCAATTCTGACTCATAGCGACCTTACAGGAGAGTAGAACTACCCCATAGGGTTTCCGAGGAATGGCTGGTGGATTCGAACTTCCGACCTTTTGGTTAGCAGCCTTAGCTCGCCATAGCTCTTAATCACTGTGCCACCAGGGCTAGTGGATCCAAATTCTCCGTCCCCCAAAATACCTCCTGTCACAAATTCATCCCGATAGAGGATTCATTCAATTTTTTAAATTATCTGACAAGTCACTCAAACCATTTGACACACATAGACCCAGACCTAACTTTCCATTACAAAACTAGATAATACTAAGTCTCACAGGAAATAAAACGTAGATGTTCTAATAAAAGGTTATCTTGCTAAGAGAGGTAGGGTAGAGAGGGCCCTCTTGCTGCAATTTCCCTACAGATACCACAAGCAGGGAGGAACGGAAAGGGTTGGGCGAGTGTTCACCACCTGCCTGAGCTTAAGGGATATTTTCTGCGCTTTGGGAAGCCGAGTGAGTAGAATACGCTTGACAGCCTTTGCACAGTTTCATTGATTCCTCCCTTCCACGCTTTCGATTTGCTCCCAGTGCGCTCTGCGGAGCCCACTTATGTTATCCAACTGATCGATGCGACAGACCTGGACTGTATTCCCGCGATTTCCCTTTCAAAAGGATCACAGCCCTGTTGGCCCAGACCCGAGGCACGCGAGCGCGAGGGACGGAGCGGGCCCCGCCCTAGCCTGCGACAACCGAAGGAAGAAAGCCTGTCGGCTCGGGTGGCTGTCCTAGGTCCTCCAGCCCCTCCCCGCCCTCCCGAGGAGTTGGGCTGCACCTGCAGACGGACCGGAGACACTCCCACCGTAGCGCGGCACAACCCTCGCACGGCCGCCGCTGCCTTCTGCCACCGCTACCGCACACTTCCGCTTCCGGTCTCGGGCCGCCGGGAGCGGAAGTAGTAGGGGGCTCAGACTCACGGGCCCGGAGGGGCCCGAGGCGGTGGCGGGGGCTGCGGAGGCGGCAGAAGGGCCCGAAGGCTACGGCCCTTTCTTCATCCAGCCTCGGCGGAGAAAGTTTAGTTTCCTTCCCTGAGGGATGAGGTTAAGCCCTGGGGTACGGTCGGACCAGGTCTGGACGGTGAGTCCGGGGCGGGGCTTATGCCTAATGGGCGCGGCTGGGTCGGGTTTGTGTCCTGGGGGCGTGGCCTGAGCCTGAGGCAGGGGAATGGGGCATCCTCGCTGCACATTCTGGATTCTGAATATTAACTTTTTTTCCCTTGCCTTTCTCCACGCTTAAGCCAATTCCCTATAAAAACATACCCGTACTTAAGATTTTTTTGGTTTTTCTAATTTCTTCTAAAAATAGGTTTAAAGATTATGTGTTGAGTTTCTTCTACAACTGCCGCCAAAAATAAATCGTGAAAATCCATTCAAGACGAGATAGATCTGAATCTATTTACTTTTTAAAAATTACGTATTTATTACATTGAACAGGTAATAACCTGCACATAGGAAAAATTCAAATGGGAGTCTCAATTCCGTCGCTGAATTTTCCTCCCCAGAAACAACCACTGTAACAAGTTCTTTCATATTCTTTATACAGTCAAACCTACGAAAGCCGGAATCTGTGTAAGGCGGAGACGTGTCAGAGAAGAAAAACTCAAATACTTTCCGCGAATAGCAGTAGAAAGGTGGTAAGACTGCATCCTGTCACAGGCAGAAAACTTGTGAGACTCGGAAAAACAATGTAGTCCATCACGTTCCACCTCTCACAGGTTTTGTTGTATATTGAAGCACATATGTATATTATTTCTTTCAGTAAAAGCCTATGGAGCATCAGTTGATTGCTACGTGCTAGATGCTAGAGTTACAAACGAGTAAGTAATAGCCCCTTCTCAAATAGCAGCACATCATTTGGAAGAAGATTATTCTTCATTTGTTGTTAGGTGCCATCGAGTCAGTTCTGACTCATCAACCCTGTATATAACAGAACAAAACACCGCCCAGTTCTGCACCATCCTCACTGTCATTGCTGTGTTAGAGCCTATTGTTGCAGCTACTGAGTCAATCCATCTCATTGAGGATCTTGCTCTTTTTCACTAACGCTCTACTATACCAAGCATGATATCCTCCAGGGACTCGTCCCTACTATTAGCGCATTCAAAGTATGTGAGACGAAGTCTCACCATCCTCGTTTCTAAGGAGCATTCTGGCTGTACTTCTTCGAAGACAGATTCGTTCATTTTTCTGACAGTCCTGGGGATATTCAATATTCTTTGCCAACACTGTGATTCAAAGGTATCAATTCTTCGGTCTGCCTTACTCATTGTTTAGCTTTCACATGCATATGAGGCAATTGAAAATACCAAGGCTTGGGTCAGGTGCACCTTAGTCCTCAAGGTGACACCTTTGCTTTTTAACACATTAAAATTGTCTTTTGCAGCCCATTTGCACAATGCACCACATTTGATTTCTTGCCTGCTGCTTCCATAGGTGTTGATCGTGGATCCAAGTTAAATGAAATCCTTGACAACTTCAATATTTTCTCCACTTTTCATGATGTTCCTTATTGGTCCAGTTGTGAGGATTTTTGTTTACCTTATGCTATGGTATAATCCTTGCTGAAGGCTGTAGTCTTTAGTCTTCATCAATAAGTGCTTCAAGTCCTCTTCACTTTCAGCACACAAGATTGTGTCATCTGCATATCACAGGTTGAGTCCTCCTCCTATCTTTATGCCACGTTCTTCATATAGTCCAGCTTCTTGGATTATTTGCTCACCATGCAGATTGAATAAGTATGGTGAAAGGATACAACCCTGATGCACACCTTTCCTGATTTTAAATCAGTCAATATCCCCTTGTACTGTTTGAAAATTGCCACTTGCTCTTATGTACAGGCTCCTCTTGTGCACAATTAAGTGTTGTGAGATTCCCATTCTTCACAATGTTATCCTTAGTTTGTTATGATTTCCACAGTCAAATGCCTTTTCACAGTCAGTAAAACACAGGTAAACATCTTTCTGGTATTCTCTGCTTTCAGCCAAGATCCATCTGACATCAGTGACATCCCTCGTTCCATGTCCTCTTCTGAATCCAGCTTGAATTTCTGGCAGTTCCCTGTCAATGTACTGCTGCAACCACTTTTGAATGATCTTTAGCAAAATTTTACTTATTTGTGATATTAATGAAATTGTTGGATAATTTCTACGTTCCATTGAATCACCTTTCTTTGAAATAGGCATGTATATGGATCTCTTCCAGTTGATTGGCCATGTAGCTGTCTTACAAATTTATTGGCATAGAGCACTTCCAGCATTGCATCCATTTGTTGAAACATTTCAACTGGTATTCTCTCAATTCCTGGAGCCTTGTTTTTCACCAATACCCTCAGTGTAGCTTGGACTTCTTCCTTCAGTACCATCGGTTCTTGATCATATGCTGTGTCCTGAAATGGTTGGACATCAACCAGTTCTTTTTGGTACAATGACTCTGTGTATTCCTTCCATCTTCTTTTGATGTTTCCTGCATTATTCAATTTTTTGCCCACAGAATCCTTCAGTATTGCAACTCAATGCTTGAATTTTTTCTTCAGTTATTTCAGCTTGAGAAATGCCAAACATTTTCTTCCCTTTTGATTTTCTAACTCAAGGTCTTTGCACATGTCATTATTTTACTTTGCCTTCTTGAGCCGCCCTTTGAAATCTTCTGTTCATCTCTTTACTTCATCATTTCTTGCTTTTGCTTTAGCTACTCTGTGTTCAAGGGCAACTTTCTGACATCCATTTTGGGATCTTTCTTTTTTTTTTTAATGACCTTTTCCTTCATGTATGATGTCCTTGATGTCATCCCACAGCTTGTCTGGTCTTCAGTCATTAGTGTTCAATATATCAAATCTATTCTTGAGATGGTCTCTTAATTCAGGTGGGATATACTCAAGATCGTACTTTGGCTCTTGTGGACTTGTTTTAATTTTCTTCAACTTCAACTTGAACCTCCATAAAAGCAATTGAGGATCTGTTCTGCAGTCACCCTGTGCCTTTGTTCTGACTTCTTTTGAGCTTATTCATTGTGTCTTTCCACAGATGTATTCGATTTGATTCCTATGTATTCCATCCAGCAAGATCCATGTGTATAGTCACTATTTATTTGTTGAGACAAAGGTATTTCCAATGAATAAATCATTGGTCTTGCAGAATTCTGTCATGCAATATCTGATGTTGTTTCTATCACCAAAGCTGTGTTTTCCAATTACTGATCCTTTTTCTTTGTTTCCATGTTTCCCATTCCAATCACCAGTAATTATCAATGCATCTTGATTGCGTGTTTGATCAATTTCAGACAGCAGAAGTTGGTAAAAGTCTTCAGTGTTATTTTTGGCATCAATGGCTGGTGCATAAATTTGAATAATAGTTATATTAACTGGTCTTCCTTGTAGATGTATGGATTTTATCCTATCACTGGCAGCATTGTATTTTAGGATTGGTCTTGAAATGTTCTTTTTAACAATGAATGTGATGCCATTCCTATTCAATTTGTCATTCCTGGCATAGTAAACCGTATGATTGTCCAATTCAAAATGGCTAATACCAGTCCATTTCAGCTCACTAATGCCTAGAATGTCGATCATCAAATGTTCCATTTCATTTTTGACAACTTCCAGGTTTCCTTGATTCATACTTCGTACATTCCACATTCCAGTTACTAATGGATGTTTGCAACTGTTTCTTCTCGTTTTGAGTCATGCCACATTGGCAAATGAATGTCCCAAAAGCCATCCATGTAATTAAGGTCAACTCTACTTTGAGGAGGCAGCTGTTCCTCAGTTGTATTTTGAGTGCCTTCCCACCTGAGGGGCTCATCTTCTGGCACTATATCAGACAGTGTTCCACTGCTATCCATAAGGTTTTCACTGGCCAATTTTTTCAGAAGTAGGCCGCCAGGCCCTTCTAGCCTTTCTTAGTCTGGAAGTTCCACTGAAACCTGTCTGCCATGAGTCACCCTGGTGGTATTTTGAATATCAGTGGCATAGCTTCCAGCATCACAGCAACACCCAAGCCACCACAGTACAACAAACTGACAGATGAGTTTTGGTTATGCTCTATAGTACCACTAAAATCCTTGTAAAGTAGCTCAGAGAGTAACAGTAGTTGAGACTTTCAGGATACATTTAATGCTGTACCGAAGACTAGGAGTAGGAAAGATGCAACATGAAGACTGCAACTGAAGACTTGAATGTGGGCACCACTGTTAGCACGAGTTGCCTTCAAGTCGATTCCAATTCATAGTGACCTCGTGTGTCAGAGTAGAACTGTGCTCCATTGGGTTTTCAGTAGCTGATTTTTCTGAAGATCACCAGGTCTTTCTTCCAAGGTGCCTCTGGGTGGACTCGAACCACCAACCTATTGGTTAGCAGCCAAGCACATTAATCATTTGCACCACCCTGGGACTCCTGAATGTGGGTATGTAAGAGTAAACTCACAGCTATCTCAGACAAATGAGATGTCAGTTTTATGCAATGACTTATAACAGTAGTTTGGGGGCACTTAGGCAATTCTAATTTGGGTGTGTAGTGTAGGGGTATCTAGTTGTTTTCTTGTGTTTATGGGTCTTTTGCGGGGGAGTAGGGAGTTCTGCTATGTGCCAGGCATGAATCTGAACACTGTAGATGGATTAACTCATGATCCTCACAACAACATTATGAGAGAAGTACCACTGTTTTTTCCATTTTATAGATACGGAACTGGAGGGACAAAGAGGTAAAGTAATTTGCTTATGGTCATATGGCTAAGAAGTGGTAGATTTGAGAATTAAGCCTTTGTAGAGGGGATTAAAGGTACCCTTCTGGTACAGTGGTTAAGCACTCAGCTACCATCTGAAAGGTTGGTGGTTCAAACCCACCAGTTGCTCCACAGGAGAAAAGACCTGGCGGTGTGCTCCCCGAAAGATTCCAGCCTAGGAAACCCTATGGGGTAGTTCTACTCTGTC